TTTAGACCTGTGATACTCGTAACTGATAGTTTAGCTTCGCTGCACAGAAAATAAGGGATTAAGCGGAAAGCTGCATAACGAAGTTTGGACACAGAGCCGTCAACTTCCACTAAAAGGTATGATCCGCCCTTCGTGCGGCGCAGGACGACCATGGGTCCGAGATACCACAGCTTTGTCTTTCGATTCAGCTCATACTCGATCCTGGCGTTGCGCACTAGCACTAAGGAACCCGGTTTGAAATCATAATCCTTGATTGAGTCGTGGAACCTGCTCCTCGAAATTGTGGATTGGCTTATACCTAGCCTTTAGGACTTTCTCCTTGATATCGTTGAGGTCTTCCTGTCGCTTCTGAAGTTGACATGTGCACCATGCAATAAGGTCCATTGTAGTGAACTGAATGTGTCTGGGTAGCACTACTAGGAATGTTCCTCCACAAGGTCGAACTGGAAAGATCGGTTCTACACCTGTGAATGGTAAAGTAAGGTGTTAGACCCGTCGCCTGATGAACTGTAATGTGTTCAGGCCCAAAATACCAAATGCGTGCATTGGTACCATCGCGACTCATCCCCTTCACAACTTTTCATGATGGCCTCCCAGACATCGTAGTGACGTCGTTCTACTATACCATTAGCTTGAGAGTTGTAGGGTGATATGCAGATAGGGTGTATCCGATAGCGCGCGGCTAACTCGTCTACGGCCTGCTATGAACGTGGGCCCGTTGTCAGTAACGATCTCTGTAACAGGTCCCCACCTGCAAAGAATCTCCTCGAATATGAACATGCCAAGGGTTTTGGTGTTTTCCTTCCGCAACATCCGCCATTCCAGGGTATCCGGTGAGTGTGCAGTGCGCTTGAACTATGCGATCGAATCTGCCTGCTTTGGGCATCATGATGCTGTCAATGTGCACTTTCCTAAAGATTCCGCCTGGAATGGGCACGGTAGGAGGTATCTTTAACTTGCGCAGTTGTCGGATTTGACATTCATGGCATGTCTGGTTGTACCACTTGATATCGTCAGTAATCCTAGGCCACCAGAAGCGTAAAAGAAGGCGGTTCCTAACACTGAATACTCCCTTATGTCCGAGATCGTGGTGCGCTTGTTTAATGATCTGAAAGCACCGCACTTCTGGTACTACCAATTGATGCTTGCCTAGGAAATGCTTCTGCCATAGGTTGTTGTCAAATAGGAAAAATTTAACCGCGTAGGATACGAAAGTTTCAAAACTCTTGTCCGATAGGTCAGTGGGTCTTTTCCGATCTTCTAGAAACCGTTGGACCTTTGGTTATCCTTTCATCTTGTGCTCGCGCAGCTATCAGAGTGAGGTATGCACGGTTCATTGGTTTGCGGCATGGAAGCTAGACATTCAATGATACAAGGTGAGCGGGTTAGCGTGGATGGTACGGGTACGAGGTGCAGTACACAAATGATGTCCATCCCCACGGATTCCACTTTGTATATCCTATCGTTCAGGATTTCAAAGGCAAAGGAATATGAGCGGTCAAGCCAATCCTCATGGTCATCATCATCGGATGGATCATTGTCAGTGCGCGGTCTCCTTGAGAGTCCTGTCTGCTCCGGTATGCTTGGTAGCGGTACGTGAACAAGCATAAAGGAAAATAGAAGGATACCTGCGATCCACCTGTTGATGGTTGCATTTGGCTGGAGGTCCGGATTATTGATCATTCCTTTAACATACTTCGCATCGACCTCAACCGTGAAGTTGGTGATGCCGAAGGTATAAACGCACACCGCGCGAAACACGCAGAACAAACTGTAGAGTTCCAACTTGGCTTGTGAGTAGCTGCTTTCGACTTCCGTGAGCGATATGGATCCAAAGCGACTGGGGTAGTGCTTTCCGTTTTCTCCGACTTGCATGAGAATGTAACCTATAGCGATGTTAGAAGTGTCAACAGCAAGGATGACCTCAGTGTTCACAGGTATAATCAATCGGAAGGAGTGCGGGAGACTCAGATACTGCATCCTTCAACATCTGCATAGCTAGCTGTTGTTCTTCGCCCCATTCAAAGGGAACATCTTTCCGGGTAAGGTTAACCAGTGGCCGTGCTATCTTGGCAAAATCACGGATAAAAATGCGCAGGATTCCGCATGTCCCTAGAAAGCCGCGTACTTGCATAATGGTACGGCATTCTGGCCAATCGCGGATCTTTTGCACCTTAGAGTCTTCAGGTTCGCATCCATTTAAGGTACACTTATGCCCTACTATGACAGCAGTGGGCATGGCTAGAATGAATTTACTGGCGGATACGGTTAGACCAACGTTTTCAAGCCTCTGCAAAATGCGGTTAATAACTTCTAGGTGTTCCCATATAAACTGGCGGATGCCTGGATTCTCCGGGATGGTTTCATAAGAGCCATCAGCTCATTGATACCGAGTTTTAACCGATTTGACTGGAACATCATCGATGAACGGAAAAGTATGATCCAGAATCTCATCCTGTAGAACGAATGCGGTATCGCCTTGATATACTTGGACCGCGTTAGCGTGACCCTGAGGAAGTGTGGTTAGCCGATGCGGACCCAAAGGCATCCCGAAGGTTGTTAGATCGCGCGAGTCTATGTGCAGCGCACGCTGATCATACCCTGCCATTAGATCCATAAGACCAAATACCACGCATCCGGCAAAAAGCGAGGCTAAATGTTTAACTAGGGGAGGAAGCGATGAGTCTCGGATGGTTACTTTGTTTAGCGATTGGAGGTTGTGCACTAGGCGCAGTGACTTTCCATCCTTCTTGACTACACAGAACCAGCTGGTACGGTAGGCCGTGGTTGACGGTTCATATACTCCGGAATGAATTTTCTCTCTAATGATATGGATGACTTCGCCATGAATTGCGGGCGGGATAGGGATGTTGCGTTCGGACCAGGGGATGTGAGGGATGGTAGGAATCTTGTAGGGAGGGAAATAGGTTTCGTCGAGATGACCAGGTTCAGTTGTATCCCATGCAAATGCCATTTCGTGAACCCGGACGAGCCAGCATACAAGCTTAAGCTCTTTGGGCCATAACAAATTAGCAGGGTCTAGGTCTAGGCTATCCACGCATTCTTGAGTGAAGCAAATGCCTGGAACGAAGTCAGGCGGATGGGTTGGCAGTGTAGGGATGCCGGCCAAAGGATCGTCCGGTAAGTGCCGTATTATTCTATATTCCGCGGGCATAGAGGTTTGTACTGTACGGACCTTCTTCGCGACTGGTTTGTATGCCAGCGCGCATCAGGCTTCATTGAAAGAATATACACTGGAGAAAGCGTCAAGGGATGCGCGGTTAATGACAGAATGGGTAGAAACTAGACGAGTGTAGTCTGCAGAATAACGTGGGACGGAAGGATGAAATGAGAGATTATTGCTCCGTGAGAGTGGTTGATGCGCGGATAGTGCGAGACTAGGGTTAGAGATAGGTATAATATAGTCCAAATTGTTCGGAGAGATGAGTGGGAGAGAATTAGTCCTTGTGTCTCCCTGCGGGTTATGCAGATCATTGATACCTAAAAACCCTTCTTGCGCAGACCCGGTGGACTATGCGCGCCGCTCTTGCATCCTGGGCATTTCTTCAACCAACAATCGGTAGGTATGCGGATCATCTTTGCCGTGTTCGGGTCCATGAGTGTGATGTCTTGATCGCCACTAGGCAGATCCTCCGTCTTGCAACTGGTCAGCATAAAAAATGGGTGTCCTAGTAGAATCTTGAAATTAGCGCGCGGAACCACTTGTACCTGGAATAACATCTCGCCCGCACCAAAATCTAGCGGTAGATTCTCGATAATGCCTAGTGTTTCATTCGCACAAGGTATTCACCGATTCCATTACCAATTTGTGATCAGGCCGGAGTGGAATTCCTGCCAAGCAATTGCCAAACCGATCTCGGCATCACAATACATTCCGCGCCTTGATCAAGCATGCAGGTAAGAACTTGCCCTTGATGAGTTACCACTTTAATGCACCGTAGGGACTCAAAGTGTTCTGCAACTATGCAGCTGTCATTGCTCCTTCATAGACATCCATCGTAACACCGCAAGATGTCCTCCACCTCCAGCGTACTCGACAATTCATTGACCGAGAGTGCACCAACAGTGACACGCTTCATCATTGTCATGTCTTTGAACACCTTCCAGACATCTGTGGACACAGCGATGAGATCACGCATTGGTATGCTGATATTTGAATCGAGCATCCAATCTACCACACGCTTATCTGCGTCCTTGTCTTCCAACAGGAAGGAATACCGGTATTGGGTCAAAGAGGTGTTGGTGGGCTGAGATGCTGATGAAGTTGCGGTGGCTGATGATGAGGTACTAGGTGTATTCGTAGCGGTCGTGGGTTTTAGTATCGTAGCACTTGGGTTTGGCGGGTTGGCTGCCTTCGATCCAGAAGCTTTTACCTGAGGAGAAACTACTTCTTCAACCATGTCAGTTGTTTTGGAAGACAGCCCCGGCTTAGTGCACACGGGCACATCAACGCCATCAAACTGTACATTCTTTCCCTTGTCGGATTTGCGGGCCGCGTGATCTGTTTTGACCGCAGCAAACACTTCTCACGCTTTGGTTACCTCGTGTTCTAGGTGTTTCAGTTCTTCATCTTCGGACTCTTGGTTGTCTTCCTGGTGGCTTGCACATGTATGCATAAACATGGGTGAGTCAATACCTAGCGCGGATTCGACCGATGGCAGGGCTCGGATGAACATACTCCCTAAAACCGTTGTGTTGGCACCTGTAGCGGGTCCTTCACGTATGAAATGGTCTATGCGCTGTTGAAAGTTGCTGTCTTCCCTTCTATATGGAATACCACGGCCGTCAGGCATGACGAGTTTACCGTCCTCATTCCACTTTACTTTACCATCTTGTACATATTCCTTGCACGCTTGACATTCGCGGACGAAATGTTCTCTGCCGCAGAACTAGCAGTTGGTGCTCCACTGCTGGACACTGTACTCCTGCTTGACTATTACACCTTGACTAGGTTGTTGAACCGGTGCGCTCTGCGTAGCTCACGGCAGGTACGCCGGAGACAAGGTCGTTGCATGCGGTGTTGAGGTCAATATTGGGACCGTGGTTGACATGATGCTAGGTAATAAAAAGATAGCTGCTGCATATACATTGGAGAGCACATAAGGGTCATCTGGGTGATGCGTAGTTAGTTGAATCTCCAGCCTACGCTTGATAGCCGCGTTGGCCGCAGCATGAATACCTTCTAAGAACAGGCAGTCGCATTCCAGATCCGCTAACCTCTTATTGGTTATCAGGTGCTGTGAGATCTTGAAGAATTCTTGGTAGTACTGGCCAAGCTCCTCCTGTGAACGCATAGGAATGCGCGCATTCTCTCTGCAAAGGTTTTCAAGATCAGTGCGCAAAAAGCAGCGGTCACTCTTGCATCCGGGGTACATCGCTTTTACTTCTTTTACAAACTTGTCCCAATCTGCTCCGGAAGCCAAGGGTAGGAGGGCCCATATCTCAGTTTCGCTGGTAGACGTGTATCGAAGGGCTGCCTTGATGGTATTTGTCGGATCAAGGGACATATATCCTGCCAAGATTTCGACTTCCTCAAAATAAGGAACTAGGCACGCAGGTGTGCCATCAAACTTGGGCGCAGATTCTGCTCCCCTGAGAGGCATCCTGAAAACTGAAGACATCTTTGTAGTTAGTGCGGGTTGACGGTTAACAGTAGGAAGAGGTGTGGAAGGAAGCGGAACGGTAATAGCAGGTAAGGTATTGAGCATGGGACTTGGTAACGTAGGTGGGAGCGTGGATAAATGTTTATGTGGGGACGGAATAGGCATGGACAAAAGAGGTGTGGGTACGAAAAGGGATTGTCTTTCAGGGGAAGGTTCGTGGGATGGGACTAAGGGAGTTTCCATAGGGGAGGTTTCTAGGGTAATGAAAGGAATGCGAGGGAGGGATATATTAAATGCTCCAGGGAACGGGGAGTCCTTTTCTTCTACTTCCTGGTTTTCTAATGATGAATGTGCAGAGTCAGGGGAGTCGGAGGTGAGATTCTGGAGTACTGATGCCTCGGATGATGAACAAGAGCACAGGTTGGATGAGCCGGCTTTGGGTTCTTCTTCTATGATATCGGGTAATGCCAGGTAGAAAAGATCTTCTTGTGATAAATCCAAAGCGCAGAGATTACGGGTTTCCGTGGATCTAAGTGTTCTTGGTTCCAGCTTCAAATAACCCCCTCGCGGTAGGCTCCAATTGACAAGAAGTAATAGTGACTGGCCAGCAAGAAAGCTAGAGCACTAATAAATCCAACTGAGTGCGGGTGTGCTATCTCGACCCAAGAGGATTGCTATGAAGCACTTCCTTCAAGTAATGTGCGAAGGGAGCAAACACAGAACGGAAAAGAACTAAGTCGACCTTGGAAAAGCGAGACCGCAGGTCCGGTGAGTGCGCGATGAGAAATGACCGAAAATGAGAGGATCCTAGGTAAAGAGCGACGGGTTTCTAGGTAAAGTGTGGTTCTGCAAGTAGCAGCTAGGTATAGATGAGGTTTGAGGCTGAGGTATAACTAGGTATGAAAATGCTAAGTCAGAAACTGAGAGCGGTTCGGATCCGCGCAGAGTCTAGGTAAGGAAACTTAGAGGCGCGTTCTCAGAGCGGTCAAGAACACATGGGTTCAAAGTGAGAAGTGAACAAGGCTTGTCAATCAATCAATAATACTAGGAATGTCTAAGTGACTCCGCAAAACAAAGGTAGCATCTGAGGGAAGGGAAGTAAAGTACTGTATGTAGCACACATGATTTTATCCTACTGCATGAGCATCCAGAGCCCGTAGGCGAGAACTGTAGCGATGAAACGAGGCAGATAAGTAATATGTAAGGAGAGAGAGTGTGGAACGGAATACACAGTTACATGTAATAACCCTTGATAGTGTTTAGTCAAACTGAGAGAAAATGAACATGCACCAACGGAGATAGGTGGACACAGAAAGGACATGGACAGAGGATAGATCTGAGTGTGGGTGTATGCCAGTTGGCTATCGGCCGAAGGAACTGCTAGAGTAGGACTGGAATGACATGGATCCAATGAGTTTCCATAGACCTTGACATGAGTATCAAAAGACACTCGTTCCTGCCCAGCGTGGGTCCGAGCGTCACACTGGCATGGGCACTTTTATCCAAAAATACGTAGAGGGTTGCGCCCTTTGTCAGCAAATGAAATCCAACACGCACCCCTCCTCCCCACCCCTGAATCCCATTCCTTCAACTGCGCTTCGCCCCTTCTCGCAGATCTCCATAGACCTAATCACTGACCTCCCAGAGTCTGGAGGCTATAATTCTGTCATGGTCATGGTAGACCATGGCCTTACAAAGGGGGTAATTCTTTGTCCCTGCAAGAAAACCATCACCGCTGAAGGAGTTGCCCAACTCTTTTTCAAGAAAGTCTTTCTTAGATTCGGCCTTTACGACAAGATCATCTCTGACAGAGGACCTCAGTTTGCCTTGAAGCTTGCAAAAGAACTGGGAAGGCTCCTCGACTATGAAGTCGCCCTATCCACCACCTATCATCCCCAGATGGACAGACAGACCAAACATCTAAACCAAGAACTAGAAACTTATCTCCACATCTACTGCCGATCCACACCCTCTGAATGGGTCAAGCATCTTCCTATGGCAGAATTTGTCCATAACCACCGAAAACATGACTCCCGCAATGCCTCCCCATTCTTCCTCATAATGGGCTATGAACCACAAGGAATCCCTTATGCCTTCCCTGAATCTTCCATTCCTGCAGCAGAAGACCAAGTCAAGCACCTCCAGAAGATCCGAGAAGAAGCAATATCATGTCACAACCTTGCTATGCAATGCATGGCTGATCGGACATTTGGAAAGAAGTTTGTACCCTGGAAACCTAAAGACAAAGTTTGGCTATCTGCTGCGCATCTCATCACACACCTCCCCTCAAAGAAACTCGCCCCTAAACACTATGGCCCTTTTGAAGTCGAAGCCGTCTTGTCCCCTATCACTTTCAAGATCTGATTCCCTCCCTCCTGGAAATCACACCCCGTCTTCCATGCCTCTGAGTTATCAACCTATCAAGAAACAGAAATCCACAGACCCAATTACCCTGAACCTCCCCCTGACCTCATTGACAGACATGAAGAATATGAAATAGAAGCTGTTCTTGCCCACAAGGGAAACATAAAAGGAAAATGCCACTTCCTCGTGTCATGGAAAGGATACCCCAGTCTTCCTCTTCCTCCTCCTTCTCCCTCAAATCTCACCGCTCTTCCCTCGCCCTCTGTGATAGACAAGCCATCGTCGAGGCAGCCCTCCTATCATGCAATTGCATACTCCCTTTCAAATCATTTTTCTCCGAAGATCTTGACGCACTAGCTCAGATCACTATTTTTCGCGCTGCAGACCTCACCACCGCCTATACCAACACCATGATGCTCAATGACAAAGCCAGACTCGTCGTCTCCCAGCAAGTAAAAGTTAAATTCCTTATCCTTGCCTTATGGACAAAGGGATCGAGACCGCAATGTCTCTCCCTGACTTCCCTAAACCAGATGACTATCTCCGCTCCTCACATTATTCCATCACCTGTTCCCCTGAACTGCTCACCCAAACTGTCCCCGTTTCCCCCTTGTCCTCCGACGATGATACCCCCATTACAGCACCCCCTCACTCCCAGCTCGCTGTTCGATCCCTCAGAAAACCCTGCCAAGACCGCAAGAAGAAGAGAGAGACCCTCATCTTCGGTACTGGTTTATCCCATCCCATCTGCCCCACTCCATCTCTTCTTGACGAAGACAAAGAGTCCTCCTCTGTGTTCATCCGTGCACCCTCCGAAGAAACCTTTCGCGACTGCAACGGCATAGATTATTCCACCATCACTTGCCGCTATTGCAGCGAGGAAGGGCATCGCCAGATCAAATGCCTCAAATACTTCTGCTGTGTATGCATGAAGCATGAACCACACCATCTCTCAGCTAACTGTCCTGACCTTCATGGCACCAAGATCATTTCCGCCAAACCAGGCACTCATGCATTCCATTACCAACTTAGACTATGGGAAAACAAAAGAGACAATGAGGCGGACGAATACGAGAACCAATTCGCTAAAGATGCTGATATGGACCCAGAGCTCCACCAAAATTGTGAATGAAGTCGGAGACTTTAGACATTGACAGGGGGGTAATGTTACAGTGACCCCATCATTTTCCCATCATCACCTGCAGAACTACTCATGTACTATACTTCTTGATCCCCGTTTTGCTTCTAGCCTTCCTCATGTAGACCATGAGGATACTTCCCTTACATATATAAACCCTAGCTACCTCTTGTATTCTCCTTAACTTGAATCTACTCAGTTCTCCTCGATACTTGACTAGGACCTGAGGGTGCCTATTGATCTGGCTCTTCACGAAGAGACTAGCCTTTACTCAATCACTTCGCCAGAGTTCTACCTCTGGTCATTGTCACCCAATACCGTACTCTTGATCTCCTTTATTGGAGTTGTTATGGAAGACTCTATCTGAGTTTGTAACACGTTCGATGCATCAAAGAAGATCGGCCTTGTCTTGTTAGGCTCGGTAGGAAGATCAAAGAGGTTTGTAAGACCTGTCCTGCCTGCGAGGACAAGAAGGTCAAATGTGTAAGGCTAATTCCCGAGGCCGAAGATGCTTTGCGGGATATAGTAGCAAAGAAGAAGGCTGCAACCACATCTAAAGCAGTGGCTAAGGAGAAGAAGTCCCACAGCCACAAACCTGCGAAATCAACGGCACCATCGACCTCCTGTGTGCCCTCAAAGAGATTGGTCGGTCGTGCAACTCGTTCTGGAGCGAGGATGAGGATCATTTCTCCTACCAAGACTGATTTGGAGGGTGACGTCAAGGTTGGTCAGTCAGCTGATGTTGATATCGATATGCATGCTCCAATCCTGGAGCCCGGGAGTACCAGTAAGTTTTATTTCTGGTTGGAACTCCTTGACACTGATGTTCTTCAGATGTTCCTATTCCTGCTGATGTTGAGCATCCCCTCATTGATATCAGTGCAGAAGGTCCTTTTGATGAGGCCAGGAACAGTGGTAGGTCTTCTGCCAAATACAATCAATCAATACTGACTTGACTCAGATTTGCAATTTCCTCTGGCTGATTTTGGGGTTGAAGCAGACACCCCATTAATCGACCTCATCACTCCTTTGGAACCGGAGGTACCAGTCCCATCCATTCAACGTGCTCCTATGGATCCTCCGGCCGATGTGCCAATTCTTCCTTTCGGTGGGGACGTTGAAGATACAGCTCGCCCGCCCACATCGGTTGATGCCCCTCCTGCTGCTGCACACCCTCCTCCCATTGTTCTCCCTCAGGTCACAGCAAGAGACCTTCTGCTTGGTATGGAGGCGCTCGGGAGGAGAATGGATGACCTTCAGGTGTCCAACAACCAGGCCCAGGCTTGGCATGCGCAGATGGGCAAGCGGGTGTCTGCATTGGAGCAGGACTGGGAGAAAAAGTTTGCTCTCCTTGAGGCCAAGGTCAGCAACCTGGAGATCAAGACTCTGAACAACTTGATGATATCTGGTAACTTGGCTGGCCTCATCAACTCCATCCGCCCACCTAACAACCCCAACCCATCCTTTGCGCCTCCTGCCATCGCCGGCAGCAGTACTTCTCCTTATGGCACCCTCCCCCCATCTTGGTTCCCTGGGAATCCTCCAGCACCTGCTCCCACAGATGAGCCATCGGTGTCACATGTTGGTAGAAGGTACACTCATGCTTGGGATGAGTCGCATGTGTCGCCCAAGACATCAGACCCAGCTGGTCCATCAGATTTACCTGGTACTGCTTCGGCATCACCATCCAGTACAAAGTAGTTACATAGTTTCGATTATCTATTTAGTTGTACAATATTAGTTCATTAGTAGTCACCTCAATGACCTGCGTCTTTCTGTACATAATAGCATCATGTATTGTATCTTGGCTGCAATGGACAATGTTAATGCATGTTCCTGCCGGTATTTAAGCATTGGTTGCAGAATGTCCCTCTGCACCACAATATCAGTAGTATCAGTATTTGGGTGCAGTTCCTATGCAATGTCTTTTAATAGTTATAATCCCTGTTTGATACTTGACTATGATACAACCTCGGTATATCAGCGTCAGGGAGCATATGGCCAGGCTGATGTAATGAAGGTAATGTGAAGATGTAGATGAGCTCTAGGTAGCTTTGGAATTTGGCATAACTTCCTGTCATAGTCGGACTGCTTCTTGCTGAGTTAGCTGTGTTTCAGTTGTATAATGACACCGGTTGGATGCACTGAATGGTTGAATACCCTCCTCTCCTACATGTGAGACCCTGTTGAGCATGTATAATTCACGGAAAGTGGCCATCTTGGGCAAACCTACCTCTACTGCTATATGCACTTAGATATATTGCATGGTCGTCAAGTGGGCAGTATGTGTATCTCGGTAGGAAATGATCCCGGCTGCATATTCATTTAGGTGGCATTGGGTGAATACATTCCGGTGGGAACCTTCATAGATCAATCACGGTAGCACAATTTATTCGGCCCACCATCAATATACGTAGTACTATTGTATGGGCCCAACTGTTCACCTCAGCAGCACTGTTACCTGGGCCCGTCCCTATATCTCGGCTTGTCATCTCGGCCCTACTGTTAATGATTACAGGTGGTACAATTGTATGGGCTGAGCCATTCACTTCGGTAGCACATTTATCTGGGCCCATCCCTATATATTGCATTGTCATATGGGCCCATACATCCATTTTGGCAGCACATTTACATGGGCCCATCCCTATATATTGCATTGTCATATGAACCCATACATCCATCTCGGCAGCACATCTACATGGGCCCATCCCTATATGTCACCTATTGATACGGGCCCTACTATCCATCTCGGCAACACAGGCACCTGGGCCCATCCCTATATCTCACCTACTCATATCAGCCCTGCCATCAATATGGATACACTTATATCACATACTGGGCCCACCCTAAGGTATGGACCACTAGACCATACCTTGGGCCCACCTCAGGTGACCCGTCTCACTGGGTGGATCATCAACTTCGGGTGGCCCTATATATCGGAAAAAAGTTACTGTAGTATGTGTTATTAAGACACACTGCCAAGTGTCAGAAATGCTGCGTTTGTAAATTATAGATAAAAGTCAGGAAAATGTCGAGCCCTACATCATCGCAGATCTACGATCTCTAGTAGGATGTCTTTCATTTGCACATGCCCCTTGTCTGCGTCCTAAACAACTAATCAATAGCTGCGGATGAACCACTCCAGAAGCTACGCACTGTGTAGATTGGCACCTCTTGGTGTCACCATCACGGTCACCTCACATGTGTGATGGCATACCATATTCTTCTTGTGCTTCAAGAAATAAATTGAGGACTGTTGCAGCACAATTATTTGTGCTTATTCTTAATGCAACCACCTAGATAGTAAGTTATCAGCAACTTCAACTCGTAAATTTATAATTACATACTGTTCTGCAGTAGCCATCAATGAATCCATGAATGACAAACCCCCACCGAATTAATTTATGGTGCCCATACAGATGCCAAAGAGCATTAGAATGTTTAACTTTATATTTCCTTCTTCAAATGATTTGTTGGTGTTTGAAGTGGTGTCCAATTCTGTCAACTCATTGTATTGATTGCCATATTCACCTATGTTGTATGTGGACACCTTGTTGTTGAAGAAAACCAACCAGGTACCAAAAACCAGACTCTGGTCTACGACATTTGAATATCTTCACTAGAGCATTAAGGTCACAGTCATAAAAGTTAGAATAACACCTTTCAATACCATGTTGACACATGTAGCACTGTAGTGTTACTAGATGAACATTGACAATCTTCATAAGCTCAACATGCTTGATGTGATGTTGAGCAGAGGTGGCCTCCATCAAGAAATCAAGATCTATTATTTTTTGGGCCATCCTTGTTTTCCTGTGTTCTCAATTCTAGTTAATTCTGGTATATCAACATTATGCTCCTCTCTGTAAGATCCTGTGACAGTATCCATGGACCATATTTCTATCAAAAATTTGACTTACTCCTTGTTTACAGTTGTCCCTAGGTGTTCCAAATGTGAAACTACGCAGCCAAGTATTGTGGCTGTATTAACTAGCCATTCAATTGGAAGAGACTCTGACAAGTCAATGTCACTGTCTGGTATGAGTGCTTCAAGGATTAGAAGTGCATTTAATGAGATAACATCCACATAGAAAGCAATAGGAGTGGGGTCAGCTCCATCTGCTCAAAGAACTTAGATAGCATGATTATAAGTGCATTGGATATTCTCATGTGCAGCTTGGATTTCTGCTGCCCAATTTTTGGTTTCAGGAAGAAGCGGGAGTGACAATGGCAATAAGGGACTGTTAGCATCCATCATTTTTGTACTCCAAGTCAATGTCCGAGTCAGTTAGAAAAGTAATCATTTAAAAGTTCCACTGTGATAGGCATAATCTGCAGGTGATGTGGTTTGGGTTTAAGGCTGCATCACTCCCTGTGTCTGGTCTTATTACTAACTTCAACTCACTCAGTCCATCTCTTTGAAGCTGTTATATTCTAGTCAGCCTTCAAATTATCACAGTGATCATTCAATGACTACTTGACACCATCAAATGATCTACTTCTCAGATGGCACTCATGTCTTCCAGATGTGTGCACTGCTGCTTCACTATCTGAATAGCTTTATGATGGATTAATGTACTTGTAGGCAAGAAGTTCACTGTTCAGAGTGCATGCAAGCATTCTTGGAGATAAATCACTTGCTTTCTGAAATATGTTTGCTGCAAGCAAGGCACACAACTCGAACAGGTTGATGGTAGTGCTGATGACAAGCCTATTTGCATGCCATCACAAGTAAGTGAAAGTGTGTTCAAATTGTTTCTTTCTGTCTGTTATGACAAGTGAGAGTCATTTGGGTATGTTTCACAATAGACTCTAGGTTTGACAGCTGATACTATTATGCAGATGGAAGCCTGATGTCCTCAAAATTCCCAATGACACTGTCATTCAGCTACTGGAGCTTACACCTGAGACACAGCCAGAAAAGTTCTGTGAACAGATGTGATACATATCTTGAGAAAAATTATGCATGTTTCTACCTATTTGCCTATTGTGCAGATGATGGAAAGTTTCTGGATAAAATCACAAATATGCATAAGGATCAAATTCAGAGTAAGTTCGGAAAAAAAAGGAAAATTTGTTTTGTAATCTGCATACATTGCATATTAACTTCATTTCCTAAATTTAGTTACAAATATTAAAACGTCTCCAAGGATACAATTGTTCATGCATATTTCATGTGACATTTCCAAGGCCACAGGGAGGATTAAGGTCACATCAAACTTAAGGTCTGCCCAACTGATAAGCCCGCAAACAAATTTAAAAAATTATCATTATCTGTCAATGCAATAAATTTGTGTATAATTTGTAGATATGTTGAATATATGTACAAGTGGCCCTCTGAGTACCCCTCTGAGAGGTTCACTCAATTTAACAGGGGGACCACTCACCAATTCAATAGTCCACCACAGTATGATTACAAATATTTAACATCGACCACAGTATCCAGTTCACTACTAATAGTCAACAGATACATATGTTTTTGTCTATCTCCTACGACCATCACATCACTTTTTGATATACTATCTCCTACAACTTGCAATGACATGACCCGCACCCCAATGCAGCCAAAAGCCCACTGATGGTGCACCACCAAAGGTCAGAACATTCGCAAGGATGTCAGTCGTGTCCAAGAAAAAGCCAAAGCCCCAAGGAAAACAGTCTGTCACAACAGGCCAGTCAACACGCAGCCTGAGGATCCAGCCGACACCCTATTGTACTTCAAAACTCTGGTGGAGAGAGTCAAGGAAAGATGGAAGGCGAGAGATGATGATGTGGAGATCGTAGAACCCACTGCCAAGAGGGCACTTACAGTAAAGGACAGGGCCGTGAATGAGGAACATGAGGTAGAAATTGTAGAACTTCCTGCCGCCAAGAGGGCGTTTACAGGAAAGGAGAGGGCCACAGATGAGGATGATGAGGTGGTAACATCTTCATCCTATAGCTTGACCCCTGCCAAGCTATTAGCACACACAAGGACTTACTGTAACATCTTCTTAACACAATATGAGGGATGGAGTTTAATTATATTGGTATGGAACATTAACACGAGGCAACAAAAAATTGAGATTAAAGTGATGAGTGGGGTGAATATCAGCAGCAGAAACTAACTGGGCAAATATTGGAGTGGGGTGTGGTATGCGATATTTGTATAGACAAGTTGGGATGTCGGGACAAGTATAGAGCAGGAAACTGACTAGAATATGGACTATTGTGCAGTTAGACCTCAGTTCTCCTTGGCTATATCATATGTAAGACTCATGGTTCATTTGATTGCCTTCGTTGATAACACCTGTTCAATAAACATGTTCTCCTGTCAAGAATAAAAACAGTAGTAAATCGAAGGGAGTAGAATAGAGTAAGATGGGCTAACCGTGGCGACATCCGCATCAATGTCCATACATGAGTCCGATTTGTCCTCCAGCTCAAGTATTTCCTTTAGCGAATGATGTTAAACTGGATCACAAGGGTAGAGGGAGGTGAGGATACCATTACGACGTCCGCATCAACATCCACATATCCATCTGATCCCTCCTCCAGGTTAAGTATTTCCTGTAGTGGTTGAGATTAAACTAAGCCACACAAGTAGAGGTGAGAATACCATCATAATGTCCCCATCAACGTCCATACATCCATCTGACCTTTCCTCCAGCCTGAGAGGTATCTCCTGTAATGAAATTAGATGGCAAAAAGTAGGGTAGGTAGTCAAACTGCATGAACAGTTATGACATCCGGATCAACATCCATACTCCAGACTGATTTCTTTTCAGGCTTCGGCACTCCCTGAGCGAAAGATATCAAACTTGATTCACAAGGAGAGAGAAGACTAAGCTGTACGGACCACATACATTGCGCCTTCAACCATTTTGTATAGTTAGCAAGGACGGGAGATGATGTTAATTGTAGAGGTAGAGAAGTTATGCAGATTCTCAAATTCAATATCCAAGTCTAGAGCAAAGTATCAAAATTGATATTCAAGTCTAAAGCTAAATGGACATGGTAGTTGTGCAGATAACAAAGTTGAATGGAATCCAGGTCCAAAGCAAAGGTAAATGGTGGCAATGACAACATGCACACAAGAAATATATGGGGTGTGATATGCTGGACGAGAACATCACATTCATAAGTCAAAAGTGAATGCAGTTTAATTCAGCATCGAGCTCCCCTGGGTTCATTCCCCACAGATTTATCTTCATCCTATACCTTCTCTGGCGAAGGCTCTATCCCACCAAGTCAGGCCTAGCGCTGAGTTCAGAGAGAGCTGCAACTGTATGGTTGTATAATCATACCTTGCTAACAATTGAGTGATAAGATTGTTGAGAAATTATTGGATTCAGTACACGCAAATACTTGCATTTTATAAGGTCTTGCAACAATTGTATGAGATTCTTGGGTTGGCCAAGGTAGATTCTTGAGAGGGACTTCATTCTGCTTTAGAACAGCGATGGCGACTGAGTGAGATGTTGAGCTTGTCAGAAAGAGAAAAGAACCCACCATGTTCAAATTTGCACTTGCATTGCATTGTTGGCATCAACCAATAGTGACAAAGCTGCCAGGAAAGATTCTTGAGGTGTTGGCCCTGCTCGAGGTATGATGCTACTTTGGTGCACACCTACGGAAGGGGTTAGTGAAAGGGTCAAACAAGATTTGATGTAATGAAAATAACTACCTTCTGAGTTTTTGTGGGTGACTCAGTCTCGGCCAACAAAAGGCTTTTTACCCCTATATATGCATGTTAGTGTTAGCACTTTGATGTAGAATAAAAAAGACGACCTCAAACTTGAGGTTGACTATGGATGGAATGGACTGATGAGGGAACATGCGTCGAATAGGCCCAGAGCAGCCCAGTCATGACTTATTAGAGGAACTTGAACGGGGGTAAATGAACTTACCACCATGATCAATAGGAGATCGTATATTTGAGTAGCAGTGCACGATGCCAATCTGGCACGCATCAATTAATTGCTGGCAGGATAATGCACAATGGTTAGTTTCACAGCGTCACAGTGGTTGCATTTGGACTCACGATTTGGGGTGAATACAAATCCATAATGATGGACTTGTTGTTTTCATGGAGCAGGGACTACAAGAACATTAATATTGATGCTACACAAACCTAAGTGAGTGCTACAATAGCATTGAGATTGAGACTCTACATCAAAACTATATTAAGACTATACTATGACTACCATTAAAGTGACGAGACAACAGAAAAAGAAAATCTATAAAGTAAGGTTTGGAGTATTAAGTAGTGAACAGGAGAATTGGACTCCGCCGGAGATACCCAAAGCAGCTGAGGGGCTGGTCGGCTGAGTGGTTGAGCAGCTGTCGGCAAATTACATCAGAGTTTTGACTGACTCGAATTCACTACTTACGCAGAGAATCCCTGTTTCCTTGCTTTCTTTTCCCCTATCACAGTTGTAGTACATGCCTCTGAAGTACATGTATTTGTAGATTTGTAGTACTCGTAGATTTGTACATTACCTGTATTATTGTTGTAGTGGTTCTCAAAGTGCTGTTTGGTGATAAATCAGAGTTCAAGATGGGATTGTGTCATATCCTGTATTCCGGACCTACATCCAACAATGTTCCCACGCCTCATCCGGACCTCCGGACCCCTGTCCATGTCCTTTATCTGTCCAGATCCCTGTACCTTTGTATATCCACACATTTGGATCCGAAGCTCGGACACCTAATCTGTTATCCACTTCTCAGGATCTCCAGATCCAGCCTATGTTTCATATCCAAACCCAAACCTTAAATCAGTGCTCATCCCCTTATGGTAATCACCTGTCTTTGGTTTTTGGTTATCTCTGTTTCCATTTTGCTTATTGATCCTTGTACAAGTTTCATCATGATCCGTCTCTCTTACTAATACATTTCCACATGCTTGTACATAGCCTTACCCCTCTGCTTACTGATCTGCACAGACTTGCCTCCAGTATATGAACTCCTGTAGAAACTCCTGTATTTCCTTAGTCTGAATATTACACATATTAGTCCTCGCACTAGACCTCACACTCAGTCCTCATACTAGTTCTAGTCCTCCGACTTAGTCAATATCCATCTCAGGCCTAGGGAGGAATTCCCTAGGCCGGAGCTCTGCTCCTCCACTCCTCCTATCCTAAATTCCTCCGAGTTTCCGGAAATTCCTCAGGAACTTTCCCGCAGTCCTCCGGACCTATTCTGCTTCGGACTTTGTCCCTGCAGCCTTTCCTCTGTTTGTTTCTACTCAGGACTTGTCCTGAGTAGCCATTACACATATCCATATCAGGATGAAACCTCATTATAATTTCTGGAAGTTCCTCCAGAACTATCCCGCACTCATCCGGAAAGTCTTTCCGAACTTTCCCACACTCCTTCGGAAGTCCTTCGGACTTCCTTGGACTTTCTTTGGACATCATCTGAAATTACAGGCATGTACTCAGGCAAGGGGCGCAGTGCACGAGCTGAAGCCAAGCCCTTCGGAACCAGTCCTACCCTCTGTGCATGGTCTTAACAATTTGCAGAAAAGAAACTTCATTGAAATCTCCCAACAAGCCTAGTGATATATTGTACTTGCCCCTATCAGTCTAGAATCTTGTCCAAAATTTGATTGGGTCAGCTGCTGCCAATTAGTGCCTCCTTCAGTTGGTAATTGGTTTCATGGACAGTGGAAAATGTTTGATATCTGATTGAATTGTCAGTGTTTGTGGAGAAGATGAGAGGTGAGAACACTCACCGGCATACTGTAATGTGATTACTGCAGAATTCATGGGTGATCTGTTCTTCGAGCAAGTGTTCTCTAATCTAGCCATTGGGGAAACAGTCTGCGGGATCGCATCCATTCCTGAATAATGTGCACTTTACACACACTAAAAGGTGTGAATTTCAGAGGTCAAATTTGATAATTTGTTTAGCATTGTGTGAGGACAGCACATCTTTCTGATTGATGGTTCATCTACTTACTATACACATCTACCAGCACATAGATATATCTGTAAATAATCTAGCGAGATCCCAGCCATAAGGACAGTGAAACATAAAAAAGTGACTGCCAGCACGATGGCTGTTGCTTGAGCTAACTGGGAATAGGGCTGCAAAGTCCCAACATGAATAAGGGGGCATGGGAAGAATAGCTAAGACTTGCACTTCGTAAATTGACGGGCCTTTGGGCAACTTTGAGTTGACATGCATGAATGTCACAATAGTTGTTTGATTCGTGCATGCGGCTTCGACGCAAAATCAAGTTTGGAGGCTTCTGTTCAACGTGAGCACAAGGCTTGTACCAGAAGAATTAGGTTACTCACACGACACAGAATCACTTGCAACAATGTGTGATCCATAAGATATTGCACTAAAACAGCAAACATTCCTGTTAAAATTCAAACACCTTAATGTACTGAGCTTTCCTTGTGTTTGGAAATACAATGATTGTGACACAATAAGTCTACAAAGTCGTTAAGACAATGGTACTAAGTGTCAATACAATAACATCTTCAAACCACTATTAATCAATCAGAAATCAGAAAGTTCCGCCAGTAGGGAAAGTTAGACTCCACCGGAAATTACCAAAGCGGCTGAGTGATCATATCTGAATTGGCCTAAATCTGGTCTTCTTCTTGGTCATGTTACAAATTGTTATAGAAAATATACAAGGGAGATTTATGAAGAGCAGAGAGACATGCTGAATGAAAAGACCTTGCTTTCATTACAAAACCAATGAACCATTGATATCTTTCTTCAAGTGTGTCCAAAATATATCTTCACCATCGACACCAGACCCAACAATGTCAAAGGAAAGGCCCAAGGTAGAGGTAAGTCACACAGCAATGTAATCTAATGCATGAATTTAGCTAACAAGTGGAGGGATAGGATGATGAGGACCTTGCTAGAAGCATCTTCCATTTAACACTGGAAGACAGGACACAGGACGGGCATGTTACTGAAGCGATTCAGGTGGACAGCTGATCCACATTAGATGATACCACTAGAGCTACAAGGGAGCGTTCAGCGGAAATTCAGGATAAAGCATCGGAAGATTACTGAACAATGTCAATGATGAAGCTAGAGGAACTTCTTCCGAAGGAGGGGGCTTATCAATTGCATCATGATACACCCATGCATTGAGGATCTCCTCTATCTCCTCATGAGTGACACCATCACGTGTCTGATCAGCATCAGCATCAAGGAGTCTGTAGCGCTATGCCTGAACTAAATCCCTGACTCCACCAAAGTAAGTGGTTGTGCAATTTATCAACTCATTGTCGTGCCGTGGCATGAGCACCAGCCCCAATTTGTATGGAGCAGCCGCAGCGCCCATGCCCTCAATGACTTCACCCCACCGGTCTGCCTTCTTCAAGTCTGTTCTACTGCCCTTCAGCCCATAGAATGAGGTAATGAATTCGATGAAAATGTAAAATAGGGACTCAAGGTCATCACTGGCAGTTTGTTCCACCATCATATTTCCCAGACCCTTGTCTCTTGCAATTGCAGTTATTGCATAGAGAAGGTGAATAGACATGTATGGTATGGTGCCCTTCTGACAATGAGATCAGCCAATCATATCATATTAAACGTGGAATCTCAACTCATGGTGCCATTCAAACGAACACTGGTGCTGCCTTGTGTGATGATCTGGGTGTGGTCAAAATCGATGAAGAAGCCGTGTCCTTCATGGATAATAATGTTGTTGGGACTAAGGTCTCTGTGTAGGATGTTCCTCCTGATCATTGCCTTGTGTGCTAAAAATCAATATAAAGATCAATCAAGCTTAATTCAAACACTTGGAGAAGAGACCCACTGACTACGAAGTCTCGAAAAGCGCTTATGAGTTCTTTTTTGGTCGAAAATGTCAACAGCAGCTCTCCACAGGGGGTCAAAAGCATGTGTCAGTGATATTTACAACAAAAGCCAGGACTGAATTTGCTGTGGCAATTATGGATGCGCAATGTGGAGTCAGACTCTCCCTCGTACTTGACATCCCAAGCAGCAACAAGAGTAACTACATTAGGAATGCCCCAGACGATCTCAATAATCTTTTCTTCATGATATTTCTTTGCCTCATCCACCCAGCAATCCTTCAGTGCATATTCGACTCCATCCTTATCCTGAATGTGATAGCAAATGGTTCCGTGAGAGAAAAGACCTTGGCTTCTCCACAAAATGGCAATGATCAATAATTTCTGCCTCTGCTTGTCCTCTATCCAGCCAATCACCTGGTCCCCCACCTCACATTGCATATTCTTGCAAGAATCATTGCACATGTGCATGGTGGGATCCATGCCATAAACTTTGCTGTTTCCCAGTGACATGGTGTTTAACATGTCCACAAGATGTGTCGGATTTGCGGTGATTAGGATGAGACATGTGATAGCGAGGCCTGAGCGAGCCATGTAATGGGCGCAAAGACAGTTTGCTGCCAGGCTGAATAGGACGACAAACCAACACCAGGGTTGTTCTCACATCATGAGATAACCTTTAGTGATCACACCGTTGAACAATGGTATGCCATGGTCTGCACCAAGATCAGATTCAGTGATCTCCACACATGTGAGGATGTGCCCCCCAGCCTTTCAGTTGAACGTTGCGATCAAGAAGGACTATATCAGGCTTCTGGATATTGGTCGCATCCAGAATGGGAACATTGCAAAACTCCGGTGACCATTGCCAATGTGGGCATTTGAGATCTGCAGGCTTGAAAGGGTAGGTGGGTGAGCGATGAGGGAACATCACCTTATACGCCATGTGCATGGCCAAATAAAGGGTATTGAAGAGACGTGCCCATTTTTGCTCTGGCGTCCACTTCAGGGTCAGCTTTCTGTTTGGATTATCAGGGTTATATCCCTGGGAGCCCCAGCTCTGATCACTGGTGTCAGCTGTGGCTGATGAGGAGGAACCTTCACTGGTGTCAGATGCAGCTGACGCAGAGGAACCATCACAATCTGTCTCCAACTCCTCCGCATCTGAATCAGTATCGTCTGGTGCTTGCATCTGTTGCTGTTTCTGCTTGTTCTGATGTTTATTGAGTTGCCACTTGCGATCAGCCAATATCGGCACTCCAGTTGTGTAAGTAATTTCTTCAATCACTGATCTATGGATACTTGATTTTGGAATGATGAGATCCATGAGAGAAGAGGTGGTGGAGGGGAGATCAGTTTCTTCCCAAAGGACGTTACCTAGAAGATCATTACTCAAGAGCTTGCCCATGTGTGGCTGAAGGCGCCATATAGGAAATGCATTAGATGAGCTGACAATTGGCAAGATCCCAGATGTGGAGGTGCTCGTCATGATGATATGGCAGATATCGCATGAGAGGCTCTTGTCCACTTTTATGTTTGTTTTTATCTTGGGAGAGAAAAAGCAAGCAATATTTGAAATGATCAGTGCTTTGGACCGAGTGATTGATGTTCCAGAACTCACTAGGCACTCAGCACTAGCCGCAAGCAAATACAAGAACAAATAATACTGTTTAATCTGCATCATTGCGGTAGAACCTGTCATGATCAGTTCCAAGTTTTTGCCTAGACAACATATTATGTTTAAAGCCAGTACGAATAGGAAAACAGAAGTTGACGTAGTTATACACACCCTGTGATACAATGAAGAAATGACCAAAAAAACTCTCAGCAGATACCTTCAGGATAGGGAGAGGGAAAGTACTTTAACCTTAGGATAAGTCTAAGGACATGGCAGCATTAAAGTATGGAAACTTACCTGCTATATCCAATACAAAAAATGATATCATTATGAAACAGGGTCGCAGGCGATGCAATAGTTAGTGCTAGGAGTCTGGCTGCATGGGGGCATTCGATTGGATCTGCATGATGACACCTTAACATTAGTTTTATGCACCAAACGAAATGACTACACAACAGCATACGCGGGGTATGCACTAGACTTTAGTCACTTTCAAGACTTGAGTAATTTCAAACTTGGAGATGAGAACCGCTACAACAATAATACAGGGGACAAAGTCCGAAGCAGAATAGGTCCGGAGGACTGCGGGAAAGTTCCTGAGGAATTTCCGGAAACTCGGAGGAATTTAGGATAGGAGGAGTGGAGGAGCAGAGCTCCGGCCTAGGGAATTCCTCCCTAGGCCTGAGATGGATATTGACTAAGTCGGAGGACTAGAACTAGTATGAGGACTGAGTGTGAGGTCTAGTGCGAGGACTAATATGTGTAATATTCAGACTAAGGAAATACAGGAGTTTCTACAGGAGTTCATATACTGGAGGCAAGTCTGTGCAGATCAGTAAGCAGAGGGGTAAGGCTATGTACAAGCATGTGGAAATGTATTAGTAAGAGAGACGGATCATGATGAAACTTGTACAAGGATCAATAAGCAAAATGGAAACAGAGATAACCAAAAACCAAAGACAGGTGATTACCATAAGGGGATGAGCACTGATTTAAGGTTTGGGTTTGGATATGAAACATAGGCTGGATCTGGAGATCCTGAGAAGTGGATAACAGATTAGGTGTCCGAGCTTCGGATCCAAATGTGTGGATATACAAAGGTACAGGGATCTGGACAGATAAAGGACATGGACAGGGGTCCGGAGGTCCGGATGAGGCGTGGGAACATTGTTGGATGTAGGTCCGGAATACAGGATATGACACAATCCCATCTTGAACTCTGATTTATCACCAAACAGCACTTTGAGAACCACTACAACAATAATACAGGTAATGTACAAATCTACGAGTACTACAAATCTACAAATACATGTACTTCAGAGGCATGTACTACAACTGTGATAGGGGAAAAGAAAGCAAGGAAACAGGGATTCTCTGCGTAAGTAGTGAATTCGAGTCAGTCAAAACTCTGATGTAATTTGCCGACAGCTGCTCAACCACTCAGCCGACCAGCCCCTCAGCTGCTTTGGGTATCTCCGGCGGAGTCCAATTCTCCTGTTCACTACTTAATACTCCAAACCTTACTTTATAGATTTTCTTTTTCTGTTGTCTCGTCACTTTAATGGTAGTCATAGTATAGTCTTAATATAGTTTTGATGTAGAGTCTCAATCTCAATGCTATTGTAGCACTCACTTAGGTTTGTGTAGCATCAATATTAATGTTCTTGTAGTCCCTGCTCCATGAAAACAACAAGTCCATCATTATGGATTTGTATTCACCCCAAATCGTGAGTCCAAATGCAACCACTGTGACGCTGTGAAACTAACCATTGTGCATTATCCTGCCAGCAATTAATTGATGCGTGCCAGATTGGCATCGTGCACTGCTACTCAAATATACGATCTCCTATTGATCATGGTGGTAAGTTCATTTACCCCCGTTCAAGTTCCTCTAATAAGTCATGACTGGGCTGCTCTGGGCCTATTCGACGCATGTTCCCTCATCAGTCCATTCCATCCATAGTCAACCTCAAGTTTGAGGTCGTCTTTTTTATTCTACATCAAAGTGCTAACACTAACATGCATATATAGGGGTAAAAAGCCTTTTGTTGGCCGAGACTGAGTCACCCACAAAAACTCAGAAGGTAGTTATTTTCATTACATCAAATCTTGTTTGACCCTTTCACTAACCCCTTCCGTAGGTGTGCACCAAAGTAGCATCATACCTCGAGCAGGGCCAACACCTCAAGAATCTTTCCTGGCAGCTTTGTCACTATTGGTTGATGCCAACAATGCAATGCAAGTGCAAATTTGAACATGGTGGGTTCTTTTCTCTTTCTGACAAGCTCAACATCTCACTCAGTCGCCATCGCTGTTCTAAAGCAGAATGAAGTCCCTCTCAAGAATCTACCTTGGCCAACCCAAGAATCTCATACAATTGTTGCAAGACCTTATAAAATGCAAGTATTTGCGTGTACTGAATCCAATAATTTCTCAACAATCTTATCACTCAATTGTTAGCAAGGTATGATTATACAACCATACAGTTGCAGCTCTCTCTGAACTCAGCGCTAGGCCTGACTTGGTGGGATAGAGCCTTCGCCAGAGAAGGTATAGGATGAAGATAAATCTGTGGGGAATGAACCCAGGGGAGCTCGATGCTGAATTAAACTGCATTCACTTTTGACTTATGAATGTGATGTTCTCGTCCAGCATATCACACCCCATATATTTCTTGTGTGCATGTTGTCATTGCCACCATTTACCTTTGCTTTGGACCTGGATTCCATTCAACTTTGTTATCTGCACAACTACCATGTCCATTTAGCTTTAGACTTGAATATCAATTTTGATACTTTGCTCTAGACTTGGATATTGAATTTGAGAATCTGCATAACTTCTCTACCTCTACAATTAACATCATCTCCCGTCCTTGCTAACTATACAAAATGGTTGAAGGCGCAATGTATGTGGTCCGTACAGCTTAGTCTTCTCTCTCCTTGTGAATCAAGTTTGATATCTTTCGCTCAGGGAGTGCCGAAGCCTGAAAAGAAATCAGTCTGGAGTATGGATGTTGATCCGGATGTCATAACTGTTCATGCAGTTTGACTACCTACCCTACTTTTTGCCATCTAATTTCATTACAGGAGATACCTCTCAGGCTGGAGGAAAGGTCAGATGGATGTATGGACGTTGATGGGGACATTATGATGGTATTCTCACCTCTACTTGTGTGGCTTAGTTTAATCTCAACCACTACAGGAAATACTTAACCTGGAGGAGGGATCAGATGGATATGTGGATGTTGATGCGGACGTCGTAATGGTATCCTCACCTCCCTCTACCCTTGTGATCCAGTTTAACATCATTCGCTAAAGGAAATACTTGAGCTGGAGGACAAATCGGACTCATGTATGGACATTGATGCGGATGTCGCCACGGTTAGCCCATCTTACTCTATTCTACTCCCTTCGATTTACTACTGTTTTTATTCTTGACAGGAGAACATGTTTATTGAACAGGTGTTATCAACGAAGGCAATCAAATGAACCATGAGTCTTACATATGATATAGCCAAGGAGAACTGAGGTCTAACTGCACAATAGTCCATATTCTAGTCAGTTTCCTGCTCTATACTTGTCCCGACATCCCAACTTGTCTATACAAATATCGCATACCACACCCCACTCCAATATTTGCCCAGTTAGTTTCTGCTGCTGATATTCACCCCACTCATCACTTTAATCTCAATTTTTTGTTGCCTCGTGTTAATGTTCCATACCAATATAATTAAACTCCATCCCTCATATTGTGTTAAGAAGATGTTACATATACTACAGTCACAACTTATTGAATTGGGGAGTGGTCCACTCCATAAGATATTCTATTATATAAGAAAATAGAATAACAAGCTGAGAAACCTGTTGAATTGAGTGAACCTCTCATAGGGGTACTCAGATTGGACAATGCCCCACTAAGTGGCCCACATAGTGGGGCACTCATCTGACTCATGCGAATTTTAAGATTGTTGTCAGAATCTAACTTTAGACATATCCATGCACATATTCATAAATTTTCCTCCCTTTGCCCACCAAACACAGCCACACTCTGTCCCCTCAACTGATTTCAAACCAAGTTTCAATCTAATATATATTTGATCATGTGGCATATCTACCATTTCTATATAAATCTTGTCCCCTGCACAAACTTGTCATTAGTACTAACTCTAGAGCTGAGGAAGGAGGAGGCTCACAGAATATTAGGTCATGTTGATACATCATGCAAAGAATTTGAATGGCCTCCACAATGTCACCCTTCAAACAGTTTCAGTGCTTGGTAATGATCAGAGCTGCAGCTGAAAATGCTTGCTCACTTGACACTGATGTAGTCATGATTGACAGATAATCATGAGCTAGAGATGCCCAGACAGGGTACTGCTGGGCATTCACCTGTAACAACAAGCCCACATTAACAAGAGTTAAATACATATAAAATGACAGAACCCACCCTTACCATTGAATGATGGACATGTTCTCAGGTACTGCAGTAGCAGAGTTAAGATAGAGATAAAACTCCTTCAATCATGGTGACTGTGGATCTACAAGTGACTCTTCCAGCTCTCCATTATCACTCTCATCATCACTGGAGAGTTCCCGAAGAAGTAAGTGTACCTTACCAGTCTTCTTCCTTGGTGAATTTGGTGCTCCATGCTCGCCATACAATCTGACATGTCTTTCCTTGAACTACACTTATGTAAGGCATCTCATTCTCAACAAGAAAACAAACTCACCATTCTCTCAGCCTCACGGAGAGCATCAATATGTGTTTCTTTACCCCAGAAGCGCTTAATATGTGAGTCCTTCTGTGATGGATCAAGCACTATTAAGAACAAGAGTGAATATAAGGCAATAGTGTTCCAACAAGCACATACACATAGCCATGATATATGCATCATTGTGAGGCTACCCTGTCTTTATAGTGCATTACCGTAGGATAGTTACAAGACACGCATAATGCATTTTCGATGATAGATCATGTAATGCATTGCCTAAATTTTAAAATGAATCCTAATACATTTGGCTTCTTGCTGCTGGCAGTTTCAAATAGGTGGCACCCGCCTCATTGCCAAATACTATAAAGCCAGCTTCTCTAGGCTTATTGATGATGTTTTCCTCCCACCACGTCCCTATCATGTCTTTGTACTACGTCCCAGCAGAATTGGTCCTCTCAGCTACTCGCGTACTGGCCTATCATCCAGTACAGGATATATATCCTCACTCAGCTTCTCCCACCAGTGGTTAAATGCAAAGTCTCACCATGCATACCAGTTGTGTGAGTCATATATTCTCTTCCATCCGATTAATGTGTTCTCACAATGGTGCAGGTGAATCTGCCACAGGTCGGAAAAAGTCGAAAATACAGTTCCTCCGAGTTTGGTGTCACATTAGATATCATCCACATTGCCCACTGCGAGAAGACGCCGAAAGTCCTTGATCGACATCAACTTGCATGGGGAACAATTTTCGAACCGGTACGAGGCATCACGCGTGGCATGTGGACATTCCAAGATATAACTGAGTTTGGTACACAACGGTGTGTCTTCTTCTGATCTTTCAAAAACTTCTACAGCAAACATGACGGTCGAAGGACATGCAAAAGTAGACACTGTAGAAGAAATGAAACATAACTTGGCACCTTCCATTACACTTACTTATATCACAATAGAACTTCCTGCGACACTCATTTCAATGACATTGCATATACAATTCCTACTATTACTCTGGCTATTTAGACTCACATGTGATGTTCATATTGTTGATAATAATCTTGTTTACCATCGAGCGAGACTCATTCATCAGACACAATAGCAAGTTTTCGAGAGCAGCTTGCAGACGGTATACAAGCCTGATATTCTTCAAGTCTGGTAAGCCAAAAAATTACAAGCTAGTCTGGGAGATATCGAAAGGTATTCCAATAAATGGACACACTGGGGTGGGATAGATACAAAGCGACTGGTGACTATCAAACGAAATTGAAGGGGTATCTTGACTGCCAACCAAAAACAATGCTATCATAGGATATGTACGGATTCAATAGACCTGAAACAAGTGCTAACCGCACTTCTGTTTTCTATGAGCCGTAAGTCTTTACTTGAGAACTATAGCATTGCAAGAAAACTTACTTGTTGACGTGTTGATTGGTGGGCTTGGCCTTGTGCTTCATAGGTAGGAGCGTGATTCCATTGTTTTCTTTGCCCTCCTTAGCTCCCGTCATAGCACAGACACGTGCCTTTGATGACCCAATAGCATTGAGTGTCTGTTCACGTGTTGATGGGATGTGACGACGTGCTGTACGGTGAGGACTGCTCGGTTGCTCCGAATCAGTAGTCAATGGATTGATATGAACAAACGTGTTTGATGGAGTTCCAGTGGTAACTTCAGGTGGCCTGCTTGGAAGTCATGGTGATAGCATCTGGAGAGCTGTTGATTGTAGCAAGGGAGTAGTTGCTCTTATACCTGGAACCGTAGATGGATCCGGTAACTGATAATGGAGCGCTGCAACAGGTAGTAATGGAGGTGGAACAGTGAACTCGAGTGCTCCATTGTCTGGGAGGTTCAAATCTTGAAAAAATTGAGCGAGCTGGTAGTAGTCAAGGTCTTGTGCAGGTATGGGAGCAGATGCAACGGCAGTAGGGTATTCGAACAATGCGTTAAGTGGGGAGGGGGCACCATTTTGATCAGTAATGTTTGACAATGTAGCAATCATATTTGTTATGTCCATACCAAGAACTGAAGGGTCTAACTCCTCGAATTGAAGGAGTGTATCAGACTCATTGTAAAGGTGATCCACGTTCAAGTTGAACCATTCTGAGGTATCCAGGTCAATGCCTTGCAGGCCTGCTGAGAAGTCCAGAACAGGCGTGAACTAAATGCATTACATGAAATGCATTGCACAAAATGCATTAGCAATAATGCATTATAATGATGATCTTGTCCATGAGCAAATACACTTAATGCATTTCAAGAACTTTGTACTCACCTCCTGGGGTATATTATAAAGGTCAATGGTAGTATCTTGTCCGTCTTCATCATCACAAACATTCCCTTCATCAGCACAAATGTTCCCATCTTCGTTATCACAAATGTTCCCATCTTCATCATCGAAAATATCTTGATTTGAATCTTCGCACTCGTTCATATCCTTCCTGGCACCTAGGGCCTGTGCTGATGCTTCTTTGTTCACCGGCGACTGCATATTGTCATCGTGAGCTAGTGGCAGATGGTGAGCAATCACGGTACTCTTGCCACTGAGAGCTTATGAAAACACATACCAACAGCTTTCTTCACAAAATCTGCATAGGCGACCTGAACATCCGAGAACCCAGGATAAGAGGCTGAGAAATCTGCACCTGTGTCTGTTTCTCCCAAGTGGAAACTATGTTGATCGTTATTATTAGCATACAGCACACGATCGTGAGAATTCTGATATTTACTCGACTACAATGACCTCTCCTGTACTAGGGTTGCGTCCACCAGCAATACAGGTGAATTTCAGTCCCCCTGTCTTATGGGATAGATGACGGAAGATACGATCCAGGTGCGACCCCAATTCATCGAAAGCTCTATGGCTTCCATTAGAACAAAAAAAGAAAATCACAGAAGTGCGTACTGTATCTTTGTGTCATCATCAACTTCTTTGACTAACCCAGCTTTGGCCAGCACACGATTGTGTTTCCACTTGGCGAGCACTTCTTCGTGCTTTTGCTTGACTTCGGTGCATATTTCATCACCCTCCTTGGCATACATGATACGAGTGATCTCCTTCCGTTTAGACAGCTTATCACCATGCGAGGAAATCCCCCCCATTGTAATTGCAGAATCAGCGGCAGACTTCACGCGTGTTTCATAGTGATATTGTGAATAAATTTCGACTTCTTGTGGTGCACGAGACCCTCTGAGCTCATCAACCCCCCCATTGAATGTGTCATCGAGATTGAGCACACCATGGGAATTGCCTGAATGCGCAAGACACGCTGTATTGGTCTTCCATCAAAACCAACGCTTGATGACCTATGGTAAAATAAATTTTAACAAGTGATCATTTGTGTGTGTTGATGTGACTCACTAGCTTACGCTCGGCGATGGCCAGCTTAACAATTTTTAATTGATCAGGGGTAAGGTCTCCTTCAGCAGGGACGCCATTGCGGTGTAGACGCATATGCTCGGGCCATTGATGGAAAAAACTGCGGAAGGTATCGGCCCAAAAATTCACAAACATTTTCAGATGCCGAGCTCTGATGAACTCAGGTAGTAAAGCTTTGAGAAATGCATCCTCTTTGACTGTTGTCCACGGCTTTGGACCATGACGAGCCATGGTATAGTTGATGGTAGGAAAGTGTAAGGAAGAGAAAAAACTTGTTGTTTGGTGTTTAATATGCAGATTGAGGCCCATCCAGACCATCAGACAGATGCGAGTATGGCTGCAGGTGATCCCCACCCCACTGACACAATTCAGTAGCATCTTACATTTCATTTTTTTAACAATATATTCTTGATTTTGCTCCTACATACATATACATGTTTGAGGGGACATTCCAACCCATGCGACTTCACTGTGCTTGACTTCAAACACCCTGCGGACTTAGTTGGTACAATACAGATCCCGTTCAGCTCATCAGCACATATCCATGGTGAAGCTATTACCGGACTTCCAAACGGTCGACGTTAATGTGATTATTGCCGCACAACTGATCGTAGGAACCAGACGCAATGTGTGACCCATTCGGTGAGAACAAAGCTGAGTTAACCCCATCAAACAGCTGTCCAGTTAATATCACGGCCAGATGCCACATGAAGAGAGTTAGGAAAGATGGTGAGACTTTGCGTTTAACCGCTGGTGGGAGAAGCAGTAAGCAGTCTGGTGCACGCTTCATGCCCATGGATCCAACAGATGACATTGAGGTCGTGCGACTCCAGAACAACGAAGATTGCCTGGTCGACGACACCGAACTTGGAGGAACTGTCTTCTCAACTTTTCTGACATGCGGTAGACTCACCTGCAGCATTCTGAGAATACGTTAATTGGATAGAAGAGAATATATGACTTACACAACTGGTACGCATGGTGAGACTTTGCGTTTAACCGCTGGTGGGAGAAGCAGTAAGCAGTCCAGTGCATGCTTCATGCCCATGGATCCAACGGATGACATCGAGGTCATGCGACTCCAGAACAACGGAAATTTCCTGGTTGACGACACCAAACTCGGAGGAACTGTCTTTTCAACTTTTCCCAACCTGTGGTAGATTCACCTGCAGCATTATGAGAATATGTTAATCAGATGGAAGAGAATATATGACTTACACAACTGGTACGCATGGTGAGACTTTGTGTTTAACCGCTGGTGGGAGAACCAGCAAGAAGTCTGGTGCATGCTTTGTGCCCATGGATCCAATGGATGACATCAAGGTCGTGCGACCAACTGGTATGCATGGTAAGACTTTGCATTTAAACACTAATGGGAGAAGCAGTAAGCAGTCTGGCACATGCTTCATGCCCATGGGTCCAACGGATGACATTGAGGTCGTGCGACTGGGTATACATCCTGTGCCAGATGATGGGCCACAGCGAAACATGAGACTTACCATGCCAGGAGAGTGGTGCCCAGTTACCAGTAGAAGTACTAAAGCCAGTAAGGTCACAAAACAATAAATGTCACCCTGGAAAGTTCTCAACTTAAGTTAGAAGAGCACCTGTGATAACGAATGAGACGAACTATTAAAAGGATATGAGTCCAAGGACAAAGCTCATCCGAGTCACCACTCTGAGTCATTTTGCGACTACAGCAGCCATGAGCATGTATATTGACCTCAGAAAGTCAGGGTATAATATAGAATACCAGAAGTCTTAACACAGCGACTTTCAGGACATACTGACGCGGTGGGAGCAGAGGTAGGATGAAAGCAATGGATTATCATACATAGAGACGATGTCAGCATGATGTACATATATAGAAGTCAGCTCAATTTGATTCCGAATCGACAACTATGTCATTCATGTCACATTGTCCGTACTGAGTCTACTGACAAACTCTGTTCACAACATCAACATTTCAGCATTCGACTATGTAGAGATTCATTCAGGTGCAGTTCGTTTCAAAACCAGTCCTACGGCTGCTGCTGCAGCCTGCATTATCTTCGGCCCGACAAAGTCACAACTCGAATCTACCCTAATATTCAATTCGCTCGCCCTAACACTTATCCTGCTTTCTTTCCTCTTTTTCTGCTGGTCCTACCTCTAATCCCGTGCCTGCTATTCTTTGTCCTAGGTGTATCACTTCTTACATGGACTCCGCCAGTCATACAAGTATGAATCCTACCACCACTCAAAGTTGCTGGAGGCATGCGGATACAAATGAGGATGAGGGACTGTTGGAGTGGAGAGGGTGTTGAAAGTGAGGTGCATTTTTTAATGACTGGTGTTTATTATACTTACTACACCAGCAGCAACTTCATGTTCTCGCTCAGACCAAGTTGGGCATTTGTAGAAACTGAGGGGTGGAGAGACTCCAGTCACTGACGAGCTTTTGGACATGACTTTCTGTAGCCCCTGCCCAAACTCAGGGAATCTGGCAGTGTCTTCTGGGCAGACGACAGTAAGTTCCATATGTTTTTGTCTCATCACGCATTCATTCTTATTCTCTAGACTGGATGGGTGTGCAAGAATCACAGTACCCAAACTCAGGGAATCTGGCAGTGTCTTCTGGGCAGATGACAGTAAGTTCCACATGTTTTTGTCTCATCACGCATTCATTCTCATTCTCTAGACGGATGGGTGTGCAAGAATGACTGTATGGGCAAGCATCGGGCATGACAAGATGGGGAGGTACCTGTTTTGATCGCATACTTGTTTATTGAACCTGTCTGGTTTTCACTAAGTGTATCATCTAATGTGTAAACTTAAGTTTTACTAAATGTTTGGTCTCTTGCGGTCATTGAAATTATGTGTGCACAATACCTATCAACGTGTCAGGCATGACAAGACACAGAAGGTACTGCAGGAGAGGGTACATGATCAAACCGTCTCATTGATATTGCGGACAGAATATGTAATGAAAACAATCATTGTTAATTAAGCCTTCAACAGTATTGGGAATAGAACTGTTTCCCCTCTCGCGATTGCGTTCCTGACTGCCCTTTCACCTTCCTCAAGTGAGTCAACCTCAGCATGTACAGCATGGCAAAGTCCTTCAACCATGGGTGCTAAGTCGTGCCTAAAAACAAGACAGCAGATGCCCAAACTTCGATAAACTTGTAACTTGCCATCCACAGAAAACCCCAATGTAGCACCCACGAGTCACGATGAAGAAAGGAGGATGAACTCCATCCTTAGCACAACTGGCTGGCACATTATATAGCACACTGCAGTGACAGTACACCATACATTCATCCACCATTTGATCAGCAGCTATCGCATAGAGTCGCTCGTCCTCGTAGACTTCAACATATTCTGTATCTGAAAGAGGTGTGAAAGACGGTGTAGGGATTCATTTCTGGCTAGGCTTGTAGAGACTGTCTTTACCTTACCTTATGTTGGCACTTTGTAGCTTACATAATCAAGTTATCTTTTCACCAGTTACCAGTATGAGTCAGAGTACTCAGCAAGTTTTCATGATATTTCCTCTTCTCTGAGCCTTGAGCCTGGTCCAGAAACCCTTTAGGGTCGAATAGCAGCTAGGTTCTGCAAAACCCAACATTGTTTAGACTCACCATCTGAATTGTTGTACCTTCAACGGCGTTAAGAATATATAGATCGAGTTTAAGGTCCTTGAATCATTGCCCTGAACAATGTCAGCTTCGTAGGCAGGTGGCGCAGGTGCACCTAAAAAGTGATATGATGATTGTAGACATTTCAATGACGAAGAGAGAGCACGCACAAAAATCATTCTCAACAATGATATTAGCGATGGTAGATGGCGCAGATACACCTGAAAAAATGAGATGAGACACATTAATTCTGGGGAGGAGATAGTAAGAATGCGCACCAAAATCATTCTCAATAATGATGTTAGCGATAATAGATGGTGCAGATACGCCTGAAACAGTGAGATGAGAGATAAATTAATGACAGAGAGAGTGAGAACATGCACCACAATCATTCATGTTGGTGATGGTGGATAGTGCAGATACACCTGAGACAGTGAGATGAGAGACACAGATGAAAGAGTGTGACGACATGCACCAGAATCATTCTCAACAATTTTAGCGATGGCAGACAGCGCAGATACATCTGAAATAGTGACATGAGAAATACATCAGTTACGGAGGAGAGATCACACACCAATGGGAGGTGGCACATGCCCAGGTACCAAGGATGACAGAGTTTGAACCATGCACAGAGATGCTGGTGGTGATTGCAGGGCAGGGGCTTCAAAGCAAGACATGCATTTCGTGATCATCTCTCAGCCTTTAAATGAGGGAGTCAGTTCCGCTTTGAGACAAGTTAATGGATACCATAAGAGACCTAATGCATTTCCTGTACAAAATCCGGTTGTTGTTGAAAACTGCGAAAGTACTTACTAGATACATACTTGTACATAGTCAGAATTGCATTTCGTGTGATGCATTTCATCTGATTGCATTTTGTGTCAAATTTTGTCTCACATAAGACTGTATTAATAACCTTGATCGTTCATGTCACAAGGGCCTAGGCCCCACGACACCCGAGAGTTCCAATGATATGGTGTGTAGACGTTGCGAGAAATCATTAGCTAGATCCGCAAATTCTTTCCGCAACGACTCTTTTATCCTGAGCTACTCATTGAACATCAATAACGAGCGATGGAAAATGTATGACTGACTGTCGTATCTGTGCATTGATTAACTGTGACCTTTTTGCTTCAGATTGAAGCAGGTCATTCCAAGCATCGTCGAGGTCCTAGAACTCAATGTATATAATCAGGCACAAAATTAATACACTGCATCTCGAATACCCACCGAAAGCGCGAGACCGAGAGGAGGAATGTATTCTCTCAACCCGTAAGTCCGAAGCTTCATTTGTATGTTGCCAAGGAGTGTAGTGACATCCTGTCGCTCTATGACCCATGTACATTTGGTTGTGTGTTTGTAAGTTGTAAAAGTAGCAGATTGTTCTTTCGCATCCGTATATGAGCCGGTGAAACGGCTAGTTGACCATGTTTTTTGGACCTCAGAAAGTGCATGTAGGAGCTATTGAAATCAAAGAATGCGTGAGCTATGAGAAGTAAGCGATGTAAGTAGATGCACAGCGCGAGCTCAACGCTTGTAGTCGTTTCTGCTCATCCAAACAGATTGCATCAGCTCAGCAAATTTTTCGACACGTCTGGAAACAGTTTCGGCTTGATCTATCCAGGCAATTAGTTGTATATGATGTGACAGCAATTTTAATTTCTAACATACCCATCGTTGAGAAGGCATGGAAATAGCTTGCAATATAGGTCATGACACTGCATTCGTCTGGACGCATCGAATCACACAGGTCCTCTACCTCAAGGAGTTGCTGCATAGGCAAAGTAAGCACCTCTGCAAGTGTTGCCTAGTGTGAGCTTACTGGAACATCAAGATGGTCTGCAGCCACTTGGAATGCCAGGCGAGTGTTACCGTGTCGATCGGACTGAACAATGCAGTTAGGTATGATATTTATGGATGCCTCTACTGCTACATGCCTTGTCAAGTTTGTCGTAATCCAGGAGCTTGGGGCGATGACAATGAATTAATGCACAGCTGAACGAGTAAGAGTAAGGCAGAGGCAGATTGCAGTCATGGAGTGTACTAACAGCGCCAGCCCATCCGACCAACTTATGGAGAAGTCTTGTACATCAACTTCTTTGTAAGGCGCAGTTTTGCATTGAGCCCAAAGCAGCAAGCCTTCCTTCGCTGAAAGGCCTTCCTCACTGAAATAGTCACATTCAATGAAGCATCTTGTACAAGTTACCTTACCTGATGTCTGTGATGGTAAAACACAAAACCAAGGTCCAGATCATACCCAAGATCAGTTTCAAGTTGCCGTCATGCGAGGAGTTTGCAATGAGAGAAAACATGGGCTGCAGCCATTGAGCAAGCTTGGGGTTAGGGTTAGGAGTTCGCACCTGCAAGGTGCCAACAATTATGAGGGTGTCCAAAGCAAGAACAAATCTGCATGCTCCACGCTATTAGACTTGATGTGAGAGTACCATCTGGCAGAGTGCAGGTATTTCGATGGTTCGCGAGTCCAGGAGAGTGTATGAGGTTGAAAGCGAATTATTATTTTTTTGGGGGGGGCAATTCGGAGAACTTGTACATCTCACAGTACTAGTACAACTTGCTACACCCGGACCATTGGCATCTGTGCTAGCTTCCAAGCCGCACTATATGTATTGCCTCCAGTCCAGAGCTGAACAAGTTGTACATTTGTACATAGATGCAGTAAATCAAATGAAGTTAAATTTTGGCCGGTCATACGAAATTGTACAGTCACGTGACACACTGGCGCAGCATTTTACTTTCTCACGGTGGGAATGCTTTTTGATTTGACAATTGGTTTTCATTTGAATTTTTGAATTTCACTGTGCAACTATTTGTTTCATTTTGTCCAGTGGTGCCCCTCATAGGATTTCGTACAGGAAATGCATTAGATAGATTATTAAATTAATACAGCCTTATGTGAGACGACTCGTCGCGCATTGCGCAGGTATATAGTCATGGACAGTTCAAAGCTTCATGGACTATGATCACAACCATGATGCAATAAGTTCGGCTTACCAATGATCTTATTACTAACGATCAGAAAAGAAACAGATTGGGTAAGACCGCACTCACAGCACCTTGAAGGCGCTGGCATGTTGCGTGCAAGTTGTAAACAAGTCAAGCTGAATGTGTATCTACCTCCCAACCCTGATGCTCTGAGCATCCATGCATCATATACATTTATTTCACACAGTCAAGGATTAGCTGCACGAAGTTCACAAATTCTCACTTCACAGTCCTCATCAGAACAGCAGGTTGATATCCGGATGGACTTAGAAGAAGGACCAGCCTTAGATTATGGTGATTACACTTCGGAAGTACACAAACCTCACTTTGAAGTTGAAGCTGAAGTTGCTACTATGAAGAAACGGATTTGTACAGCGGGTGTAAGTATTTCTTGATGTATTTCAATATTTTGATTCATTAATCACCCTTCTACTAATCAGGATCACCCGCTGTTGAAATGGATAGAAGATCAAGACTTTTTTCTGCAGGAGCTGCTGTGACACGAGGGCCGCGGAGATTATATTCATGACACCATCTGCAGGAACTGTTACTCTGGCACACCACATTTTCACTGTAAGGATTGCTTTGGCACTGAGTTGTACTGCCACACCTGTGTTGTTACAATGCATGCTAAAACTCCAGTGCATCGAGTTCAGGTACGAGTCTTACAAGTTCATACTGCAGTTACTTAAACATTTCGTTGCAGGAGTGGACGGGTTTGTACTTTGTGCCTGTCTCGCTGAAGAAACTAGGGCTGTGTGTGCAGCTTGGTCACCCAGCAGGTGAATTCTGCTTGCTGCCTCAGAAGGTGGTCAATGATGATTTTACTCTCATTGACTCCAATGGAATACACGAGATTGGCCTTGACTTTTGTGGTTGCAAAACTGCCAAGAGACACACTAAGCAGTTGCTTCGCATAACCTGGTTTCCAGCAACGTCCACCAACCCACGCACCGCAGCTACCTTCCAAATCCTTGAGCAATATCATCTACTATCATTTGAATCCAAAGTTTCAGGGTACGAGTTTTACCACTCCCTTGCTCGTATGACCGATAACACAAGACTTCGACCTCAGAAGGTATGTTTTCATCTTAATATGCAGTTTATCTATCTTACACTCACTAGGATCGCTACAAGGCATTTATGCAGATTGTCCGCGAATGGTGACACTTGAAAATGCTCAAGCGAGCAGGCCGAGGTCATGACCCTGCTGGTGTGGAGAACACAGGAAATGGTGAATGCGCTGTGATATGCCCGGCTTGTCCGCAGCCTAGCAGAAACCTTCCTGACAATTGGGAAGAGGCGCCAAAAGAAACACGGTGTAGGGATTCATTTCTGGCTGGGCTTGCAGAGACTGTTTTTACCTTAGTGTTATGTTTGCACTTTTGTAGCTTACATAATGAAGTTATCTTTTCACCATTACCAGTATGAGTCAGAGTCTTCAGTAGTTTTTATGACATTTCCTCTCCTCTGAGCCTTGAGCCTGGTCCAGAGACCCTTTAGGGTCGAATAGCAGCTAGGTTCTGCAAGACCCAACATTGTTCAGACTCACCATCTGAATTGTTGTACCTTCAACGGTTTGTGTGATTTCTATCTATACTCACATGTAACTGATGATTTTCAGCTGGCTATATGGTCTTTTTCTAGCCATTGATGCTAATTTCCGACTCAAACGACGTATGGTGTCGAAAGACAGTGCTGACCCTGGCCTTGGTAATGGATGGGCATATTTCGTGGAGGAGACTGCATACAAGAGATACTTACAATCTCATAACGGCACACTACAACAGGTGAATTATATTGGTCTGTCATGAGTCACTCTGACCAGCTGTTTGGTTAGAAAAGCACCTGTTCGTCGCATAACGCAGTAAACATGGCGGACACGAAGGTATCTCAAGGTCTAGCTGCAACGGGAGTCGGTACCATTGATTGTGCGCGACATAATATGAAACTGCCAAACAGTGTTGGTGACTTGCAAAAAGGTGAAAAGTATGTCACATAACAGCTTGCGAGAAACGATTGGCATTGACTATTAACATAGATACACGAATATGGATAATCTCTTCTTTTCAACTCTCCGTGGACACGCCATCAGCACACTCAATATCTCATATGATATCGCCTGCCAGTGGCACAAGCATCTCTGGGAGAGGATGTCGGTTATGTCCCCCGAACTTCATCTCGACCATGCAGCCAAGTTCATAAGGTTTTTCATGCCAAAATTCCATCTACCGGCGCATGTTCTCAAGTGTCAGACTATGTTCTCTTTCAACTTCTCTAGGAACGTTGGACGTACAGATGGCGAAGCTCCTGAACGAGGTTGGTCAAACATCAACCCAGTTGCCTCTAGCATGAAGGCAATGGGGCCAGGCTCACGGAGAGATACGCTCGATGATCATTTTGGCGATTGGAATTGGAAAAAGGTCGTAGGACTTGGTGAGTGTTTTGCTGCGAGTACGTACAGTCACATCTCACCTATGACAGGTGTAATGCTACTTCACAAGATGGATGAGGCAATAAGGAAAGCAAGGCACATCAGATAGTGTTTGAAGAACTTCATGGAGTTTTGAAGCCAGAGACAACGGAAACATGGAAGATTGAAATTGAAGACTGGGAAGACAATCCGAATGACTCGTCAGTCACCAATCCCTTTGAAGCAAAGGTTATTCGTAAGTAGCACAGTACTCTATCTGATTGCAAAGCTGACTACTTAATTTAAAAGCCATCACACAAGCTGCAGTTCATCTCAGACTTGCCCAACTGGAAGCAGCTGAGCTACAGCAAGGGACTGATGTTTCCATGCACACTGATGTATCGCCGAGTATATTCATCGCGTCAGGAATCGATCTGGAGAGTGAACAGTACATACTATTGGCTAACTTGATTTTCATTCTAATTTGTTTGTTTTATGGCCAGGCGTCGTTTGAAAGTGTATCGCAAGAAGCAGGGTCGCCATCCTACAGATACACAATTGGGTACAATTCAACAACTGCAGAATGCATTACAAGCAAAATCAATACTTGGAGACATCTCCAAATACTCTACACACCTGCAGCACAGCTCATGGAATCCAGGGCCGAGTCGCCTACCTCAGACGTGATCGAATCTGAAAACTCCCAACTCTGGCTCCCGTCTGCTCTGTGCAGCAAGCACAAGCATTGCAATGAACGACTCCTCACAACTGAGTGGGACTTACGATACGCTCAGGCTGGAGACGCCCTCGAAGAAATAAGGCAGAGCCTTCGCCTGCAGGACTACATGTACACTTTCAAAAGGGACTGGATCTGTGGTCAAATCGCAAATACTTGTGCGCAGAATGCCCTTAGTCGTGTTGAGTCCAGGGCAATGGCTGCTGCAGACAAGTATCGTGCAGCTCTCTCAGATCTTGCACGTGTCCTCCCAAAGGACGGCTGGGACCACAGATACAAGGTACTTGACAAGAAGACTGACGTACGTGGGATGTCAGTTCCCAAATGAGGCGAAAGCGAAGGTCGAAGACAACTATCATGGATCTGGCTGGTTGAAGGAGTCGGGGATGATAAAGATGAGATGGTACAAGATAGTAAGCTGGAATGTAAGCTGTGTCAGACAAACACTAATCTTGCTTCTAGGTCTCAGGATTGAATGGTGCAAAGCTCGTGCGAGGTCCATGCGATGGGCAGAAGAAGTCGAGTTGCTCCAGGAGGAGATGCGCTGGGTTTCCTGCTTTCTTAAGTGGCATGCAACCTGGTGGAAAAAGAAGATTGCAGAATGCACGCTTGCCACTGCAGCTGATAATGAGGGTCTGAGTGGCTACGCTTGTCGTCAAGCTCAGCTTAGGGAGGATCTCACTGATTGTTTTGAGAAGAAGTGGGCAGGGTGTCATGCTGTGCATTTGGTAGGTAGTGCATTGGAGACTATGGTGGCTTGTGAAGCCAACTTAGATCTGTACCTTCCAGAAATACGAGTCCCTTGATATCTCATCTCATATGCAACTTTGTAGTACCCTATGCACCGGCATGTCCCCATCGTTTGCATTGTTCTCCACATTGTTCTCATGTCGTTTGTGTTGAGCTGTACATTGTTTGCACCGCCCGCCATTTCCCGATTTCGCATCCGTTTTGCCCGCCGCACCCAGGTCATAATGCTATTGCTTATTCTTATCAGGCTCTTGTAGTTATCATGAAATAATGCATTTCTGGCTCTTGTAGTTACAATTGCTAATACAATATGTCTAACTTGCAACTACAATAGGTAATGCATTATTACCCCACGAAGTTGTCTCATTGTCTGCAGTTCACTCATAGTACCCACAGATCTTTTTGACAGCCACATTCAAGGCTGTAAGAAAGGGCTCATACTTTGAACTCTCAGAACAAGACATCCAAGCCTTATGCAAGGCTTTGAGAGCTGACAATGCAAGCTGAAGGGTTGAGCCTTTATCAGATGAGAAACTCTGCTGTGCATTGTCAGCATGCTGAGCAAACAGTCAGTGACAAGGGAGACATATCAGCACATAACACACTGCAAGAAGGGATGTGAATAGCTCCACTTGTTTCCACTCATCATTGTTGAGCCTCAACTGGTCAATTTTTGCATGCTGTGCAAGGTTAGGCTCTTGAACACCAAGTTCATATACAAAAGTGTTGACAAAATGACAAAACATCAATGTAATGTCACTGTCAAGCTCATAGCACATACAGGTTTCATCTTCTCCATATGGTCAAGCATAACATAAATTGATGACCAGCAGACAGGCATATCAAGCAAAAGCTGAGAGGTGACAAGGCTCGTACTTGGACAGGTCTGGACATCCTTAAAAAGCTATTTTTATTGTGCAGAAGATCATGCCTTGATGACATTAGCAACAGTAGATAAAATCATTACAGGAATGACTTACTTTAACTGCAATAGCTCAGACAAGGCCAATTTCATCACATCGGCCATTCTCTTCGACTATAGATAGTGTGGGATGCTCAGGGTTGTAATAAGGGGCTTTGCTATATGTTGAGATGAGGGCCCTTGTAGTGAGGTGGATAACATGAGCCAAACACCTAGATACTTGTTAGTACATGCTCGACTCACAAAAACATACCTACCTGATACAGTGTAGGACTGGAAGTCCTTACAGCCTCCTAGAGGCTATTTTTGTGGTATCCCTCAGCACCCTATTACTTTCCTATATGAAGCATAGCTTTCCTGCAAGCCATGCATAGCGGCCACTACTTTCCCACGACGACCGCAATGTTCCCCGCATGCGCACAGCCGCGCTTAGCGGCCGCTTTTCTCGTGCTTTATCAGCTGATGTTCCGCACCCATCCATAGTCCAAAACCAACCCAATGGTACGTTATTTCATGATTATATTTACATATCAGACCATTTTCGCATCGGACCACCTTTATTTCATCATAGACCCTTATTTACATATAGCTTTACATACCTAACTCGGTAGCGCGTCGGCTCAGTTCCGTGTGACAGCGCTTAGCGCAATACTTAAGCACTAGCAGTACATATCATTCAGTAGCTTGTTTTCCAGACATTCCAGTAGCAAACTCCCATTAGCCTACAGTTGGTAGCTATTGGCAATCAGTATCCATTTACCACTTGCATCATATCAGTTATCACTTTGCTCTACATCTATCTCTATTGTCTATCATCTCTATTATCATCCGAACCCCTCGCGCATCGGCTGCTTCACAGCCGCGTCTTTCCCGTGCCTTCAGCTTTCACCTGCCGCTATGTTCCTGCACTACGCACGCGCACCCGCCGCTTTCCCGCGCTTCGCATCGGCCGACAAGCGGCACCTTCTGCATCCATTTCTAGACCTTTGCTGCACTAGCTTCCCCTTTAGGGTCAAACGCACTTGTTTTGCAAGTATAGCAGATAGGCAGTGCACAACCTACAACATAAAGATATCAGTTTGGAGCCTATAGCACCACTCTGAGTTGTAAACCTACAATGGCACTTTTTTGGGATCTACTTGATACCAGTCCCCTGCTTCACTCGCAAGGCAAGCTCATTGAGCATTGTGTCATTGTTTGAAGCATTATCACAGGTAATATGCCCAATCTTGAATACATGCACAGTTAGTAAGCAAGACTGGACAATGACAAAGCTTACCTTATGTGTGATCCCCACTCGGTCCACGATCTTGTATAAGGCTTGTCCAAGGTGTTGTCTGTTGTGGGAGTTGTTGTTAAGTATAGTGAAGCCAATAATGGCACACTGAAACTCCCAGATGCCAGGTGACGACTCCTGTTGGGATCCGAAACAGCCAAAGACGCAGAGGAATAAAAGTAGGCGAGCGCAACCTAAAACAAGTCGGACGAGCGATGCAGGTGACATCGGCTGACATTTCTTTATATATTGCAATATACTCCTATGATACTAAAATTTTCTGTTCCTATGCTAGCTAGTATAAAGGCTCGAGTGCGAAGGACACAACATCTCAGTTCTAACAAAGATACTGAGATGTATGTGTATCTGATTCTATTTACATTACGTCGAGCTCACAAAAGACTTAGCATTGTCATTGTTTAGGTACTTGTCACGTAGTACAAGAGTTCTAACAAAGATACTGAGATCATTGTCATCGTTTAGCGTATCGCGTGTCTCCTGCTCGTCTTGAAACTCTACAACTCCTTGATCCAGTGGCCAGTGGCAGCAAAATACCTGTTGACATTGCTTGCTTGCCAGGCATCACATGTCAAGTTGACTGCACCTGACACAACTTTACTCTATGCAAAAAATGTCAGTACACAAGTTGTAGTTCTAATACTAGTACAAATATACATTAAGTCCTTCCTTGAGCTTTGTCATCTGGTTCTTGAATAAATCCATGATATCACAACGTGTGGCTTTGCGATTGGGTATAATGACACCATTCATAGCACGAGATGCGACATCAATCATTTTTTTGAAGCTGGGATGGTCAACGGCCTGGATTGGCTGCATCATAGTCAACCCTTGCAAGCTCACAATCCAGTTTGAAACAGTCACTTCTGACCAGCATCAACCTCTCTAAACAACCCATTTTTTTCTTGTATGGGCATGACAGATAATTTTGGTTTGATTTTTTCCTAAACTTTCACATAGGTCCAAGTGCAAGAGCCACAACAAAACACAACAAAATAACAATACAGATGACAACTACACTGGTACACTCCTAAACCTGTGCACCCTCAGGTAATTTATAATATAGCGGCTATCAGAGTAATATTAGTATGTCAGATCAGTGCATGTAACGGGCTGAAGCCTCACAGTGTCAAACACATGATAAAAATGCCCGTTCATACCTCCCTCATTGTTGTTGCCATAGTATTCCATTGGGAACCACTGTCACGCAGTCAGCAACACGAAGTAGCCAGGAGATAATACTCAGGTCGCACATGATCCTCTGGAAGATCCTCTTTCCATGCCCTTATCATTCGGTCTTCAAGTGTCTGGTTCACAAGCTGGAAGCCATGTCGGGGAACGACAAACTGTCCAATCTGTAGCTCTGTATCGGTAACGATGCCTCGCGAGATACGAGCATACGCGGTCCGGTAAAGCCCCCTGTACAAAATATACTCGCACCTGCATTTTATTATCATCGGCTGGCGGCATATTGAGAGAGCACCCACCAACGATCCCAATCCTGCGGGTCGATGTCATGTACGATACCATCGTACACCAAAATATCGTAGGGCGCCGCTGTAGGATTCATCAAGACTAAAATAAATATAAGACATGGAAGCCACACACGTCTACTGGCATGTGGTTTCGTGACTACGTATCCAAGGAAAATAACGGGGTGAGGGTACGACTTCGCCATGATGCGTGCGAGCTCATTGCTCTGCAATTCACGGTCGAGCGGGTCTTGTTCTAGATGAAAAACATTGTATGTAAGAACAATTGACTAAGAAAGAAAGTGTGCCGAATGTACCTTGACCGTTATGTGATACGACTACAGTTACCTCTGACCCATACACATCGAGCACAGCTTCGATTGCTGGCGCGAGCTCGCCATGGGGTGAGGGTAGGAGGTGGTGTTGCGAGTGAACAATAGGGAACTAAGGGGGGTAAGCATGATTGGAAATGAGTCATTTCACGCTAACCTTCGAAAGTAGAGCAGCACCCCATGTATGCATGTTAGGGCCTGGGCCCAAATCGACATACTCAAGTTTGGTGTGGTCATTTCCCTGCATGGCTGCACTGAAGGAAAACTCACATATCCGAGGTCTTGGAGAGCGACTCGCGTCCTGATATAAGAGGGTGAGCCAAGAGCTCATCCAAAGGATACAGCACACTCACAAGTCACGATTTCCATAGACTGTCCGCTACGACTAATTAGCACACCAGCAGCTCATTGATTGGCATTATAATTCACATGTAGATCAGTCTCCAGAAGGCCAACCACGTCAAGTTTCATATCTCTTTATAGCAATGTCAGCAGCAAAGGGCCTTGATTGAATTGCCTCACCTTATCATATTTCGGATCAACCCCTGGCTGTCGTGCCCGATATTGTCGATACCAAAATGCACTGTCCATATTCCAGCGTTGATTATCCCCGTGCCCGATTTATAAGGTCTTGGTCCAACAGGAGTCCAGCGGTATATTGTTACAAGGACAGCGGACAGCGAGAAAAGTGTAAGGAGATGACGAACAAGGAAGCTCGTTGAGCTTGGAATATGAACTATGGAATTGGCTGCAGTCCTTTTTCTTGATGGCCATTCAAATACCAACGATGTTGCGACGAATTGTGCGACGAGGACCCTTGTGATAAAGTATTTCAGCGACAAAGACGAGTGTTTTTGCAAAGAACTTACAAGTCCGAGCGCTCACGCAAGTACACACCCCCTGGCACAAACGCGTAGGCGACTGTCCACACATCGGCAAGGTAGAAAAGAATCGTAACAAAGAATGCTGTGGAATATGTCCTTCCAGCCTTATTCGGCTGGGCAGATTGTCGAATGATAGTAGGGAGCAATGACATAACAAACACAGCCAGGTTCAGCCCGCCAACAAAGCCCGTCCAGTCCCTGAAGCGGTACATCACGAATGCGCTTGCGCAACCGTAACTGAACCATAATGGATTGATAAACCAGCATGCAGGGAGGATCGTGGGCAATGCAAGACCTATAGCCTGTGCAATCAAAGTGAGAGAGCCGTGAAGATGTGGCAGAGGGCCCTTGGGTTGGCTGTCTTTGTATCCTGTCCAGGACCACGCAATGATAGTACTGGGGTCTATGAAGAAACAATGGAGAGTGAAAATCATGCTGCCGAGCGCAATGGAACCTGCAAGCCATCCATGTGATGTAACCTTGCTGCTATCTTTTGAATCGCTTATTTGCTTTTCTTCCTCTGGAACGGTGAACGGGCGGGTGGCAAGTTCGTATAGCGCACAAAACGCTAGAAAAAGTCCTGTTTTGTTGTATCCTCCAGACTCTTCATTGAGCATCGGCCATACTTCGAAGTAGTTAGAGGGACTGAAAGCGCAACAAATTTGAAATGACATACCAGGATTTGTTGAGTGATTCGCGTGTTTTGCTAGAGAAAGTAATACAAGTCCTAGACCAAGGACTACGCCATGTTAGTCGTCACTGCTATTACACTACGTGATTGATACTCACGCAAACCCTGATATCCATCCTTCCCAGCTGACCAGTCGGTGGTCTGCCCTACCAGGAGCACCACATTCGCAAAGTTGACTACAATCAACCTTTGCATGGGGCTCTTCAAGGCATAAGACCCTAAGCCTGTCAGAATTGCCACCGCCCTTAACGTGACCTGACCACTGCGCGTAAGCGCCCAAGTGCGCAACGGCCCGATGCCCAAAAGCGCAGGGGAGAGCAGAACGAGCAAAGATAACTCCGAGCCCGAAAGTGCAAGTTGCCAGACGGAGAAATAGAACAGGGTAGTGATAAGGGACGTGAAGATGGACCAAAACAAGTAAGCTGTAAAGGTGGTAAATTTGATGTGACTGTGTAATCTGTTAAACTACGACACGTACACAAGTACACATCTGAGATGAAACCTATGACTGCTCGTGCATCTCGAGAGAGCGTAAGTGCAGCCTGCGTTTTCTGAAAAAACGTCCGAGGCACAGTTGCTGATACATGGCTGACCGTTTGCTCATTCTTTGATGACGCAGCTAACCCTTCTGATTTGGTTTCAGTCACACTACTTGTCCCTTTGGATGGCACTGAAGGCGATCTATGTAGTACGTCAGACATTGGTCATACAAGATGGTGTAGTTGGTTATACATGTCATCACATCCAACGCTGGCATCCAACGAAACACCGAGTACAATCTGGGGGATAATGAAAAGTTAATACCGAGCATCTGGGATATACCTGCTTATATTTACCTGTAAATTAGAAGCTTTGAAGTCAAGCTCCGTGATCGAGTCGAATAGAACATCGAGCAAGATCAAGGACCACTCGAAAAATGAATAGCGGGTATAAGCTAGATTGATCACAATTGTCAGCCCTAGCTGCGCTGAGAAAATCAGCTACGACCTCCAGGAATCCGGTATATCTTGTGCTGAACGAAGAAATAAATCATGGGTATGATTGATACGAAGAACCTATTCTCAGAAATAAGCTGCATGTGTGTATGCTATGAGGCTCGATATTCTGACTAACCCTGTTGCAACATATCGGCTGTAGACTATTGGTCAGTACATGCATACATGTATCTAAGATAATCCTCACCGTCGCCGACGCGCTTTTACATGCCCAATTGGAGTACATAGAACGCCTCCCCACATCCATGGCACGTTGCACAGGATATACGTAACCATGAGAACATCATGCACGTCATGGTCATCGTTGGACGTGATGTATACCCAACCACCGCACATCAATGTCCGAACGATACCCACAGCAAACAAGAAACCCGGCAGACTGGTGTTTGGCGAGCGCCTCAGGAAATACTGCAAAGATACAAGGGCGAAGCGTGGACCTGTGTGTGACCATCACAAACAAGCCTCACAAGCAACGGCAGCTAACTGACCAGATGTCAAAGCGATGAGAATCTGAAAAATATTGCGCTCGGGGTACCAGTCACCGATACTGTGGTACAAGCATATCGGGTTCAATATTCGAGCCAACAGAACTTGAACGTACATACGTGGCTGATACCGACGGAAACCACTCGTCAGGGTATCCGGCAACCCCGTTCTTCACGATTTTTTTGTAATGCAGTGCGCAGCCGAGTAACAAGGCAAGACCGAACGCGGCGAGCGCGAGGTACGTGTGCGTTGCAGCGACATGGGATGCATTGATAACAAGTCGTTGAGCTCTCACACCAGGTACGCTAGTGGGCGGCTGCTTGCGACCCACCATGGCCAGTAATAGTTCAACGTCGTAGTCTGCCTGTAGAACGAAACGTGTTTCGCGTCTACTTAATGTCACTAGTACTACTAGGTTCGATATTCCGTCAGTCACGTGGTTTTGATTAATAATACGTCGGCCAAATATAAACACACATGCTGTCGATCGATGCCCAAGGGCTAAGCACATGAAGATGGATTCAAGACAACCACCCCATATACCGATTACTATCTTCACTGGATTTCTTGGCGCAGGAAAGACTTCCATTATTTTGTCACTCCTTCCACTACTTCCCAAGGATTATAAAGTGGTCTTACTCAAGAATGAGTTTGGAGACGTCCAAGGTGTGCATAATTGCTGCGATCGCTGGACATTTAGAGGGAATACACATTACCTTTCAGTGGATAGCCAGCTGGCTAAACAATCCAGTTTGACTGCCGTCAGTGAGATCTTGAACGGTTGCATGTATGTCTACACTTCATCGTCTTACTCCATTTCCTAACCGACCGTATCATGCGTAGGTGCTGCGTACTCGTCGGCCAGATGGAAACGGCCCTTCACGAGATCAGAGGTACTTGCAGTCTGACTTAACATAACCTTACCGCACTTATATATATATATATCAGACAAATACCGCCCTGACCGAATCATCATTGAATGCTCGTAAGTCCATCCAAATCCCCCTAGCTTGGTACTCACTGTCATGGAGTCAGAGGATCCGCTTTTCCCGCCACACTGGCGTTCCAGATCCGTGAGCTTGAGCGACAGACAAACAACGACCTTCGACTTGACGCAATAGTTACCGTTATCGATGCCGAGAACTTCACGGGGTACGAAGATACCTCTCCCACAGCCAAGATGCAGGCAAGCTACTCGGATATTATTCTTATTGTACGTATCTCCCTCGTTATAATGAGGCAATCTCATACAAGTGCCCAGAACAAGCACGAGCACCTTGATGAACGAGCCCTAGACATACTGATCGATAATCTTAATACCCTAAATCTCGACACTCCCAAGATCAAGTGCAATGGTCGTAACGGTGTGGACCCAAACATTCTTTTTGGTATCGACTCCAAGCTTTTCAGAGACCCAATTCCAGAGGGTATCGAAGATCATCATGATGAAGTAAAGACACTCACAGCATACCGGGGATTCCTGCCGACCTGTCACAACCATGAACATCACGATAGAGAATCGTGCATCTCGCATATTGAGGTGGATGTGGATAAGGGTATGCTTGAGAGTGCTCTTGCCTCTCTAAGCAAGGAGAGCGTTTGGCGAGTCAAGGGGTTTATTCGCTTAGATTCTGCAATTTGGATCTTGAACTGGGCATTTGGTCGGTACGACCTCACACTGTTGAAAGGAGATACATCTTTTATGCGAGATGCGTCCATAAGACTCACCATTATGGGAGACAAATACGAGTTGGATCGCAAACCGATTCCAGTGGCGGTTAAGAAGTTCTGTGCCGATCTCCAAGTTCAAGTGATGTAGATTAGATTACGTATACGTGTCTAATTGAAATTTGATTACCGCCGACGACTGCAAGAGATAAGATTGGAGAACGTTTTCTCAGTTTCTCACTGCACCACACATGTTTCCAGGGCAATGCATGTTCATGAACGATGATGTTCTCCTATGTCTTTTCGACAGGTCAGTCAATCAGAGTTGACACTAGGACAAGTAATACTGACAGTACAACCATAGCATCCTCCTTCTTTCGGGCCACGGACGATGAACACAATGCCACAGACAATGTGCCCGTCCATCCAAAACATATTACGTGGTCACCACAACCCTATCCATCAGCTGAAGAACAAAAATCTTGCGACACTTCCAAATCTTCGCCGAATGATGATATATTTTACACCCCAGAAATGCTTCAAGTCCTTTCCAGTGACGACCTGTATTGTATTCTAGGTGTTACTAGGTCCCAAACAATCGACAGAGTGACTATAAGACGCGCCTATCTTTCTCGCAGCAGGGTTTGCCATCCGGAGTATGTTCCTTGTCACTCTTAGTAGTAATATCTCATTTTCACTTTGAACTCAGCAAATTTCCCGGAAATCCCGACGCGACGTCCGCCTTCCAAAAAGTCTCCGTCGCATACGATGTCCTCAGCAATCCGTCCTCGAAACGCATTTACGACTCCCGTCCTGCACACTCGCACCTTAAATATGACTTCTTTGCCCAGTCCTCGCCCCATGCGGATGAAACGCTGAAAGGTGTTCTCTTGAGCGTCTTGAGCGAATTTCTCGAAGGTGATTTTGAGATGATACGCACATTACTCAGTAAGCACATGTCTGCTTGCGTGTCTCACATACTCATGTCTCTACCTTCAGGGGCTATCGGTGACCTAAATCCATCACTTGAATTGGGTGACGACGGTGTAAACTCTGTTCTTTCGGTCCTCCTGAGTGTCCGTGAACGCGTCTTGAGTAAATTACCTGCCATACAATGTATAACTGATCTCACATCATCAACAAATAGCCTGCCGCACCTGTGTTGTTGCCCTCCACGGCGAGCTTTGTCGCGCTGTCGAGATACAAAGCGCCTTCCGCCAGCTTCCTTATTTTGATATCGCTGGCAGATCACGGCTCACTATCCAACTAACACGCATCACCGTCTCCCTACCTGTTACTCTCGAAAATGCCATGCAAGCTCAATACACCAATCCCACCTCTGTTCATCCTACGCACCATGATCGCGACAAGGACACAAATAAATTCGCCCTGCTTCCCCGGCGTGTAGTTCTTCTCATCAGGGCCATTGACGTAGTCCTGGACCGTATGGAACGGATCCTTGGATAGACTTGGCATTCTTCAAACACTGATTTTTACTGACAAATATATATGCACGTTTCATCTGTCTTTCACATTGTAGAGTTTGGCCTACCTGCATAGACTACTTTTATAGACAATACTCCTGATGTTCTGCCACATGCATGTATTCATACCACACTTGAAATGATCAAATTAATCAGCCTACATCGCATAATCGTACATTCTCCCACATATTACTCTTCAGACATGAGGATAAAATAGGTGGATTTCAGACTTGACTAGACGAGAGGGATAGAACGACGATGAAGACAAAGACAAATGAGGAGACCCGAATCAAGATGTAAAATTTGAGAAAAGAAACATTTTAGGTTCATAAAAAGGAATACAAAAAGAGAGCCTCATAAGAACTGTCCTCAGCGTGAAAGCTGAGACACGAGGAGAGAACGAACAGATACTATACATGGATAAGGTGATTAACCTTGATGCGCAAACGACATAGACCTCTGGCTCTGTGATGGATGATTCAGTAACAACCAGTGGAAAGACAGCATCAACGACTGACGACATTCATCCACACCTGATTACCATGAGGGGGCACAATCTCTTCAAGCATGTATGAATCCGACGATGGCTGGCACCCGTATGTTCCATTTGGCTGCGCCGCCGCCGCTAGCAGGTGGCTGTAACCCTGTGGGTCCTGACCAGCGTCTCCACCGGTAGCTCCGGCGTCACTATGAGGGCCAGAAACGGTACCGGGGGTAGCGCTCATCGGATTCTCAGGATAAAATGGGTAAAATAGCCCAGGGGGTACCTCTGCGAGTTTGTCCTGCGTAGTACTGTTACCCACAGATCCTTGAAGCCCTTTAACAGGGTTCGTGCTTACAGTGACACCACGCGGAAGCGGACCATAAACACCGGGCCCGACACCGCCATTTGAATAAGGTGGGTGTGACATCGTGGGAGTCCCCGGATGCACACGCAATTGCTGTTGACCACTCAACGCTGGTGATGAGAGCATCCCAGGTGAATCTGTCTCCCAATCGAGCTCAGACAGTAAGACAGGATCTTTGGTAGGTCCAACTGTGCGGAGGTTGACGTTGAGAACTTTCTCAGCGAGCTTAGAGATAAGAGGATGCCCGCCATTCAAGTCCTTTCGTTCCCAACGCCAACGGAAGCGTGGAAGCATGTCAAGTGCCATCCAAACGTCTTCGATCATCACCTGGCGTGAGAGGCGCTCGCAGTGAGACATGTGACCGTAGAGGATGACCATTGCCGCGATATGGAGAGGGATGGGAGAAACGAAAAAGGCAATGTCGGGGAAACAAATGAGCTGATTGTGGATGATGATAATGTTATGTGACGTGACGATAGCTTTAATATGTGAGTAAATCATCAAAAAAAAAAGGCAAATGACACATGCTGAAAACATACCATCGACAAGTGCCTTCGAACGGTGGTTGTAGTCGAGTTCCTTAAGACTGAACAGGGCACGAAGAAGTAAGATCCTCGCTATACCAAATTTGAGTAACGTCAGTCCTTGATCTTCTGTAATGTCCTGGACTAGCTTCTGTCGCCTCTCCAAAGGCCAGTCTTCAGTTCCTCCGAAGTACCACTTGTAGCTATCGGGGAGTTGTCTCCTGAACTCGAGCATGCTCTTGATGATCCTCGATGCGTGCCTCATGATGGTATCAGCACTCTGCCGTGAAGGAGCATAGAGGGAGTTAATGATATCCGCCTGTATCTCGGCGATGGGGTGAGAAAGAAGGAAGTGTTCAGAGAAATCAACATTCTGGCCCTTGAGTCCGTGTGTCGGGCGAGGCGTGTTGGAGTCATAGGGAGCGATGGCAAGTGGACGTCCGAGAAGAATAGAAGTGCCTCGGTCATGCACCATGACAGTACCCCAAAGCCGGATGCGTAGTTGACACTCTTCATCTGTGAAGGTGTTGGGTTGCGCCGTGGGATCATGGTGCAGACCAAGTTCGATTGAAAGGCGAACAAGACTTCCGACCAAGCGCCAAAGGGAGCGGCCTTGTCGCTGATAATTGATGGCAGCATTAAAACCCGTGATGGAAAGTTAGAATGGACATACCTCGGTGTACAGATACCAATGTAAGAGAAGCAGTGCCTGAAGACTGGAGATCGTGACACGTAGGTGAGGCTTGACGGCCAGCGCACGCTCGAAAAATTCATCGTGCTCAGGCCATATAGCAGGGAGCAGCTTCTTGGTATTAATCGGACTATCGCTGGGCGTCTTTTTGTCCTTATCAGCGATACTCCCTTGGTGATTCAACTCGCTCAACGTTCCAAGTGCCAGAATGAGGTACATGCTACAAATAAAGCCTGGATCATGTTGTACACTGTCCCCGTCGTAAAGCGCATTTAACTTGCGCTCAAAGTCTGACCGAAAGAAGACAGGGCGGTGGATGTTGAGGTGGTTGAAGTAAACGTCAACGATCTTGTTCGTCAACGAGCGATCCTTAGGCATCCATAATGTTATTGTAGAGGTGGATACCGTAGAAGAGCTACCAGCATTGCTGGTTGCTACAGAAACAGAAATCCATTTTGTGAGATCACGGGGCATCGATTGTTCCGTGATGCCACGATCACGCCCCGATGATAAGCCATTTGAGCCAACTGCAAGATCTTCCTTGTCACCTGAACCCAGGTGACTGTCGTTTACGATGAGAGGGTGAACGCCGAAGCTCTTGGCTAGTGCCTGTCAGCAAGATGAACGATGAGGGCACGAACGTCGCACAAAAAAAGACCGACCCTCGTAGTTGACATATCCAAAGACTGCGGATCTTGACCTTTGACTTCAACACTGGTCGTAGCAGCTACAACTGGAGGCGGGACTGTATGTGGCTGTTGTGGCTGTGGTTGAGGCTGTTGTTGCACCTGGGGCGGGGCCTGCATATGTTGTGGAGGAGGGGGAGGGGGAAACCCAGGATGAATAGGTCCGTAAGCGCCAGGGGGTCCTGGCATCGGCATATGTGATGGGTACCCATGCGGCATAGGCACACCGTAAGGGTATGCGGGGTGAACGAAAGGAGGCCCGTAAATCGCTCCAGGAGGAGGGCCACTTGGTTGCTGTGGGAACTGTGGGTTCGATTGAGCAAATTCAGGGGCGGGATGACCGTCGACCTCGATGCCCTCCCTCCGACATATCTCATCAAGATTTGCCATACTGAAATCAGAAATATGGCGTTTCAAGAGAGCATCGCATTGAGCGATCTGGCGCTCGATGAACTCGGTGTGACCTCTAAGAGTGAGGGTCTGTCTATGTCTATCCTCCTGCTGGCAAGGGACACCGGCAGTCGCGCACGCTGTACATTTAGGATGTTTCGAGTCGCACTGTATAATTCATCGTTGTGTCAGAAGAGAAGCTGAACTGGCGGACGGAGATTTGCGGTCGGTGTCTACCGACGGGACTTGCCTTAATTTTCTTGCTCCTGCATCGTGCGCAAGCCTCATGGGAGCGTCTGAGCCGTCTTGGTTCGGACGGTGAGCCAGCTTCATCGGAATTTGTGTCCGCCTTTCGTCCTCTCTTCTTGGAGGTTGTCGGCGCCTGTTGCTGATGAGGCTGATTAGGCTGTTGAAGCTGCTGTTGCTGTTGGTTTGGGTCCATATGAAGGGCTGAATGAAGAGACGATGGTACAAGATTGAGGTCAGTGTGCGGAGGCAGGATGTGAGTCATCTTGCACGCTGTGCTGGACGATGAGCAGGGCCTGTGGACACCTGTCGTTCGTTGTTCAGCACGAGCTCAGCGCGCTAAGTACTTGGCTAATCATCCTCCGTGCTTTGTGGAAAATGCCATAATATTCCCACGTACTTAGCCAAGTCATGTATGTCATATTTCTAATATAATCTATATAATTTCTTAGCGTGCTCTCATCGTCGGGAACCATGCCCTCACCTTCACTGCTCGGAGCCATGCACCACCAAAATGCATCAGCCTACACTCTTACTACCGTCCATCCCGATGATCCTGAAATTATGGAGTTTGCAGACGATAGAGCTCCCCTCCTTGCACCAGAATCTGAAACTGGCTCACTTTATGGAGCCACTCCTGCACATTTGCAGGCATCCCATACATCCTCCCCAAGATTATTACTCAAGGCAGCCATAAGGATGGCAGCTGTGTTTATACTCAGTACGATTCTCCTAGGTGGAACTCTGTGGTTGACTCTTCCCACCCTTGACGAGTATGTCCTTCGAACTTCCTTCTTGCTTGGCACATCTTATCGAATAGTAGAGCCGACCGGCCGTCACTCCGCATACCGAAATCATTTGTTCAACTACAGGCTCTCAATGTCATTTTGAAAAAATACCGTGACATCTACCCGTTCCGCATCGTAATATGTTATGCCATAACATATTTATTGTGAGGTCTGCTCTCTCTATGAAGTAGACAATCTCACATTTTCCTTAGCCTACAAGCGTTTTCTCTTCCTGGGTCGATGTATCTATCTATACTTGGTGGAGCAGTATGGGGTGTGCCGCGCGCGCTCCCACTTGCTTGTACATGTGTTGCTACTGGTGCAACTTTGTGCTACTTCATCAGTGCTGCGTTTGGTCCTGCGCTTCTCACCGTACCCAAGTGGAAAGCCCGTCTAGATAAGTGGTCGGACAAGATACGCGCACAAAAAGACAACACCATGTCCTTTTTAATTGTCCTCCGCATTGCCCCCCTCCCTCCGCACTGGGTTGTCAACGTAATCTGTCCCCATGTTGGCATTGGTATTGTCCCCTTCTGGATCAGCACATGGCTGGGTATCTTCGGCGTAACTGTCATACACACGACGATTGGAGGCGGTCTAGATGAGATGACGTCTGCTGCTGATTTCCATCTCATTTCGTGGCGCAACTTCTTCCTATTATCCGCAGTGGTAGTGGGCGTTCTCATACCGGTGGGTTTACGCTACTATTTCAAGCGCGAGATTGCTTCCGTAGCCGACGTAGAGCAAGGAGGGTTGGAAGAAGATTTTTCTGAAGAGACTGAGGATCATATCCTGGCAGCTGGTCCAAGAGCTCGAGTCAAAAAAACAAGATCAACACCATTGGTTGAGCTTTCCGACGAAGAGACCGATGTGTACTCTGAAGACGAAGACGATGTTATTCTAGAAGCAGGCCCAGCGATTATTATCAAGGCATCTGAAGAGCCCATACAACAAGGTGGTAGTAGTAGACGTATCGACTTCCTATAGCATGATGATGCGCAGTTTCGCTGCGTGTATTGGTATTCCTACCGTTTTCTCCCTATGCCATCAGCTAATCATATCTGTAGTTCCATGTTTAGACTGTATCTGGACTGTACAAGTAATATGTATACATGTGTTATCTGCTTACCAGCGTGTCTAGATATCATATGAGGCCCAATATTTTGAAACGCTTCGACAAATGTCATGACATAGCCACTTGGGATGGACCGGCGTTGTATCGATGTTTCATATCACCACGGTTTCTCCCCATACAAGGTCTGATGCAAAGGCAAGTACAGTTCCCTGAAATACTTGAGTTTGGATCATGGTTAAATGTCCGTGAACAAGTGGTCTAAATACCAATAATTGAAGGGATTGCTACCAAGTAAATATCCGGTAGACGATATTTGACGATGCTCTGATCCAGCAGATGAGTCTCAGAGCTAAACATTTGTGAAATATCTCTAGCTGGGTGATATGTTGGGTTAACGGTTGCTGAGCATGTAGTTGTAAGTATTAATACTTGCCAGCACTCAGTCTAGGTACGTCCGATGTTCACCATCACTGAGCCCACCTGGTGTTGCCATCATGTCATGAATGATGAATGCTGCAATTCAGGTGCTCGTTGTGCGTCCCGAGGGATTGAATATGACCTATACAGTGTCGACAGCCTATATTGTCTATCATGGTCAGTCACGATTCGACCAGCGGAAGGAACTTACTTGATTGGGGCATCACATGGAGGTGGCGTCAGGGACACGGACTCGCAAACCTTCGCTGCCCATGTTCCCCCGTTGCCTGACAAGGCATGCATTGGCCCTGCTATGCTATTTTTTTTCGCAAGAACAGTGGAACGGAGTTGATCATAAAGATCATGATGCCAGATCTACATATACAGATGATTGACCGCACCGAACTGTGTTGTTGGCAGCTTTAAATTTAGGAAGGTAATGAATTCATGTGCACTATACGCAGTTGCATGAAGTTTATGCTGGGAAATGGTTGGAACACGACTAGCAGGGAGTAATACCCCTGTGTTGTAATACTCCCTGAGACGGCATGACAGGAACATAGCTTTTCGCCCCTTCATTTTTCCATAGAGCGACAGAGACCCTGAAGTCAAGATTATCACAGACGTGCTACCTATGCCTCAGCTTCGCATCCAGTCTTCAGACGCAAATATACTGTATTCGGCATCGGAACTCCTTTTCCACGGGATACCCCCCAAGCACTCGTGTGGCAAAACTTCGGGCGCCAGGCCAGCTGAAAGCCTCATTGCAGGCACTGAAATAACAGGTTATTTCGGAACTTGACGATTATCCAGGCATTTAGAGTAAACGCCGGGAGCGTCCTCCTTAGTTGTCGGGTGATGCCCCGAAATGGTCAAGCTCGAGACGTTGCAATGTATAGCCTGGACAAAGCCAAGGCCCTGGCGGCTCGATGGCACCGTACCAACTTGTTAGGCCAATCCGACCGAAAACAAAACGCAAGACTAACAACACATTTGATAAGTAGCCCGATATCCAAATTTTAAGCAATTCCCAAACCGAAAGGAACTTGTGGAGTTACAATAAACGAGACAGTCTGCTCTCGACAAGAATCCGTGCGTGGAAAGAAAAAACAGCCATGATGATTAATTAACAGCAGACCACAAAGGGTCAAGCATTTCTGTTCCTGATTTTACAGAATTGACCAAATGTGGTACAAGGAAATCGGTTTGTCCTCGCAAGTTTCCGAAGTATATATGAGGTCGCCTGTAATATACATGCCTTGAGGTTTCATGATGTGCATTTATTCCACACATGTTGAGCTGGAAGCAAGGCTCGAGCTCAACGGCGTGGCCCGAGTACGTGGAGATAACATACCGGAGGCACGGCAAAAACCGATTAAAGCCAGTTCTCGCGGAGTGGAATTAAATAATGAATTAATGAAATTAATCATCGAAATAATTTCTCCCATCGCTAGCAACATTACCAGGAGGGATCTCGCGGATGGGAAGCGGAGAAGGACTGGAGAAAATAAGGCTAGGAAATCAATATTTTTAGAGAATGTGGCAATTGAGAATACGAATTTGAATGATAAAAAATAATAAAGATTGAAAGTCCGACGGCCACGAGCTGAGCACAGGCCAACCGAGCATTCGCTTCATGGTGTGAAGCGCCGTCTGCTTCCCACTGTGACTGCCAGCATCTCCCCAGCTGCACGCTATCCCAAGCAGCGTCCACTGCGTTAAACAGTGCCCTTGTCGTAGGTGCTAACGCCAACGACATTACAGAACACGACCTGCTCGCTGTCACCGTCGTAGAACTCATTAACTTGTATTACCCATCTTGGTGCAAGGCTACGACCTTGCATTATGGCCGATCGCATGCCCCAGTACCAAATGAATTCCTTGCAAAACTTTATCTCCCAGCAGCATATGCAACAGCAGTCTCAACAGCAGCAACAGCAACAGCAACAGCAGCAACAACAAGACCCTCAGATGGTCCCCGGGCTCCCTAACCCCGAACACAGTCGTATGTGGACTCAAATGCAGAACAACTATCGAGCTCAGCCGAATGGTGATGCAAATTCCGTTCAGATGAACTCACAAGTGAGTTTCTCCTACAATCTTCCAAAGTCATGTTCCCCCCTCTGCGCCATTTGCATTCGCTCACAGGACCCACCCCCACTCATGTTACTGATGGTCGGTTTGGGTACTGTTCTCGTCTAATCGATCACCGTATCTGCTATCATAAATTATACTATTCTGAGATTCATGCTTCCCAAGTCCAGTCAAGTCGATGCCTTGTTCAGGTCCAGTTTCCGTAATTACGTGTGCTGACTCCATATATTAGATGGCAGATCTCGCTCGAAACCAGGGGCTCGGCCATCACTCACAAGGTCCCTTGGTCCAACAGATTCAGCAGCAATTTGGTCTTGCATCCGCCCAGCGTGTCCCTCCCTCTGCTTCGTCCTTTCATGACCCTCAGTCCTCAAACCCTCCCTCCTCTATCATACCACCCAACTTCTCCTCTATGTCTATGAATACCCCACAAATGAAACCCAGCAATCCGATTCAGGCTCTGGCTAGCCGTCCGCTGCACCCCATGGATCGTCCTCCCAATCAACAAAACCAGCATCCGCCACAGTCTGCAATGCCACATCATATGCAGCAACAGATGGGCGCACAGCCAGGCTCCAGTCCGCCGAATCCCTCGGACATGTTTTCATCTTCCAACATGACTAACGTTGATGCAATGCATAGTTCTCCGCATCTGGCGGCACAACCTCTCGGGGCCCAAATGGGCCATCCAAACATGAGGGCGGCACCAGCCTCGAAGGTACCTACCCTCGCAGAGCTGATGCAAAGGAGGGATTATTTGCAATCAGCCATAAATAGCATGGAGCAAAATATCCAAAATGTACTCGCGCAAACGAGAGGTTTCCCCGATGAAACATGGACCGCGAAGCTGGAAAAGATGCGCACGGAGCTCCATAACCGCAAGACTCTCTTCCTCAGAGTTAATCAGGCTATCCAGTTGGCTTCAAATACCCCTGGCATACTTGGAGCAAATCTAGTACATCTGTAAGTTAGGTCGGCATATTGTTCAAGCTTCCTATTTACGCATTGTAGAGGTACAATGGCCTCTACTGCTGGTCGACCAGGTGTTACCCAGGGTGGCGGAGCACCTCAGCAACCCTGGCCACAGTCGTCCAGTCCCGCTTCAAATTTTGGGATGAACACTGGAGCTAGTGGTCCTTCGCAGATTCCGACGCCAGGTCAAGCCCATCCCATGAATTCACAGCTGTCCGGACAGGGTGGTCAAATGCAACGCCCGGTTGCTGTACCCCCACGCTCTGGCTCTACTCCCCAGCAGCTCCCTACGGGCATGCCCAATACGATGCCACAAAACATGCCTCCATTCAATCCCCCATCGGCTGCTAATGGTCAGATCCCGAATAGAATGGTCAACATATCGACACTCGGCGTCTCCCCTCTTGACAAGTCACACTTTGATGCTATGTACACGTCCTTTTGCAAGAGCCGTCACGTGGAGCCCAACGTGCACGTTCTGTTACCTGATAATCGTTCTGTTGACTTGCATATCCTGCATGTTCAGGTCTTTCGCGAAGGCGGCGCTCAATTTGTAAGCTCAGGACAATTTGCACTGTTCGAAGCATACTCATAGGTCACGAATCAGGTCACTCAACGTGATTGGTGGGCGGTCATAGGCGGTCGCATGGGTTTTATACAATTTCCAGGCACAGATACTGAGCCCGCTAAGAGTGGCCCCGGCATCGCACAGCAGCTTGCTCATGCATACAAAGAGCACTTGCAGGATTTCGAGAGCATGCTCGTCTTCACCGTTAGATCTCGCACTGCACAAAAAAACAATTTGTCACAGAACGGTGCTCAGAACAATGTTCCTGGAGGTGCCTCAGGGGAAATGGCCCACTCCGTTATGCGCCCTCCTCTCAATCCGCAAGCCATGGCCAATGCTGCACGTTTCGTCCATATGTCCGTTGGTGATATGCGTGCAAATGGCTTACCAGAGCAGACGGTCGCATTGATCGACCGGCACCGTTCGGACATAATGCGTTGGCACCAGCACAGTCGGTTGATGGCAACGAAGGCCAATCAGCAAGTAACCAATCATGAGGCGCCCGGTGAGCAATCGGGTATGTCCACCGCACATCAAGGAGGAGGCTTCTCGACCCAGATGTCGACTGCTGGTCCCAGCCTGGTACCCGCGCCACAACGAGGACAGCCATCTATGATGCCCAACGGCATGCAACCATCACCGATGACTGAGATGAAACCTGTTCAGTCGGGAGGAATTTTACCACTAAGTCAAGAACAGACCGCACATGCAATGGCCATCATCCATCAGACGAAACAAATCTTCTCATCCCGTGGTTCGTCACATTTACATTCTCGCCCCAGATTCTAACCCTCTGCAGGACTACAAACAATGCAACTGGTCACACTGCCAGATGATCAGCGAATGGAGTACAACCAGCTAATGGATCAGGTTCAGAAAATGACTCGGGACCTTGACGGAAGACTACCAATGTACTGGATTGTTTTGAGAGCGGATGAGATGATTCGCAGGCTCGTTGCAATCGTAAGCGCTCTCCGCTCGCATCTGCATCTTGTCACCTTAAGTACATTTTCTTTCCAGGTGTTAACGGTGGCACATCAAAGAAATCGTTTTCCAGTGGGGTCGCCACAAGTCATAATCGGTTTTCAGACTCTAAAGAGTATGTATACCCAAATACAAAAGGCAAACGAGGAATACGAACAAAGGTTGCAATTAATGAAAGCCGTCCTCACATCGCAGCAAATGGGTGGACATAGTGGTCCTCATATAAATCGACCTCCCCCACCTCCCCCGTCACAGCCTACGCCTCCTCAAACCCTTCAACCCCCCCCTGCTATAAGTCGCCATCCCTCCGCAAACCAGTCTCACCCACCTTCGCATCCTCAGCCACACCCGCCCATGGTCAAGAAACCTCCTGTGCGCGTGCCCCCAAGCCCTTCCGTCCCTGCGGCCATTGCCACAACAAGTGCTGTGCCGTCACCTACTCCGCCACCTGCAACTACGGCTTCCACTGCTCCCACTCCTCTGGCAGCCGCTTCCCCACAAACTCCGAAGTCTCCGAAGTCTAAACCGCCGAAGGCGAAGGTCCAGCGTGTTCCCAAGCAGCCTACTGCATCTCCCTCTGAACCCCCAGCAGCATTTAGCCCTGGCGTAAAGCGCCAAGCCGATGAGGATGTATCTATTCCCGCAGGTCCCTCCACCCAGCCCGAGTCTATGGGCGCACCATCTCCCAAGAAAGTGAAGACTGAAGATTGGGAGGGAGAGCCTAGCGAGGGACTCGCCAAGAGGCACCAGGAGGTTGAAAATATCAATACGGACGAGGACGCAAACGCTTTCATGGATAAGATGAAGGAGCTAGTCGCCATGACTGCCTCGACAGACGCCGGCGTGTACGACGACATCGCTCACACTCTCGACCGGATTTTGCAAGGTGCAGCTCAAGATCCAACACATATCGCCACCTCTGCATTCGCCTCAAGCATCGGTGGACCACTTTCGGAACTCTCGCCTCCAGCAGCCCCTAACGATGCATTTTTGGAGTTCCACGAGTTTATTGATTATAGTCGTTTCACTACTCTTGAAGACGAGGAAGACTCGAAAGCTCCTACCCCCGACCTCGTACCATCATCCACGAATCCTAGCCCACAGTCCAATCCGGATGCTGATCAGTCACAGGGTGCATCATCCCCCGGCAAAACTAAGATCGAGGAGCCCAGGGAAAGCAACCATCTCGATATTCTTCATATGGGAGCATTCAAGGAGATTGACGGCGGCGAGTCCGCTTACTACCAGGCATCAGATTGGAAATGGGACAGTGTAATGCCCGCACTTGACCAACCGTGGGCAATTTACCAAACTTCATGATAGGAATTATAGGGCGGAATCCTGGTTTGTTTTGTTGCTTATTTATGAATCTTCTTTTCTTTTATATGCTGGATATACTCGCTCGTCCGTGATGCCCTCCGTTACACTGATCAGACTTGTCAACTCTACGTCCTGTCATTCATACTACTAGTATCTTGGTTTCATGTTTCACTCACTCTGTATTTCTTAATGTTGTTCTGATTTGCTATCGTATCTTGCTCCGAAATCATCGAAACGTAGGAATTAATGAGCTGCTGATCTAGACAGCAGTAGTATAATGATTTTTGCGTGAAACAGTAGTGTACAGTGGTCCGTTATCTGTGTTCTCTACTTGATAAGTACTTTTCGATCAGGGGGCTTCCTTTTGGTTGTGAGTGTACTTGACCGTCGAGTATTATCAAGGATGCGAGCCTTCAGAGAAGATACAGGGTCCAATGTCGACCGAGATTGGGAACCAGGTGAAGATGATATCGATAAGCGAGGTCTCTTACTATTTCTCTCTGTTTCATACTCCATTCTAGCCCTCGCCCATTCGTCTCGTGCCTGATGCTTGGCCTCCGCATCATCTTCAACGAGTTTTAACTCCTCCGGTAAGCCGTATTTGCCTTTGATCATGTCATCATCGACGCGCTTCTGTGCCTCGATCTTCTTCTCTGCACGAAAACGCTTGCGCACCATCGATGAAAGTGCGTAAGGATCGTTATTATAGTGATCTGAAACACCCTGTAAGGCCTCAATTCGTGGTATTTGCACCTTAGCGACATGATTTTGGGCCTCGGTTGTCTTCTCGAGCGCTGCAAGGGGATCCGCGGGACCAGCTTTCCCTTCGGTATCTGCAATCTTTGTAAGATGATGATGAAGGATATGCAAATCGATACATACCGTGAATAGCAAACCCGCCGTTCTCCTCTGGGTCCCAATCTTCGTCCTTCTGACGAGCACCTGAAACCACGACGTAGCGAGTGTTCTATATGATATTAACATTGTAAAATAGAGCCAACCACGCCTGACTCACCTTCGGGTCTGTCTGGATCTCAAACCAGCCATCGCAGAGATGACATTTGCAACGGAACGAGTAGATTGGAGTAGAATAGTAGGCACCGACTTTCTTCTTCTCCGCATTATACCGGACGCCCATGCCAATGTGGTTGTTGCATGTTCCACTACAAATCTATGAAATTGCTGTTTCTAGATGCTATGATTACGACGCATACCACCAGATGTTAAAAGGAAGCTCGAAACGGGTTATAAGAATGCCCTTGTCCAGTTTACGTGCTCTGTCGCCGAGCGCATGTTTGCCTGTGAACCATGAGAGAAACAACTTTGTGCAGGAAATTGATTGTGCATACCTCTGTACGCATTCAAGCTCTGGTGTTTATCTGGATCATAATCTGGCGGATAATACTTGTTAAATCCTAAGAAAGAGAGCAGGATTAGTCGACGATCTGTCGTACGCTAATACCTACAGATCCAACACTTGCCTTGCATGACTGTTTCTAATGGGAACTCCCGGAGTTTGCCGATACATGAGCAATCTCAGTAAACCTTAATTATCTCTCTCATCAACACACAAACCTTAGGTGCGCATATCTTGAGCATCACTTTCAAACTGCTAATCATCTGTCTAGTCACCTCTGACTTATTCCAAAAAAAATAGTCCAGAATGAGTTACGTCGCTAAGGACAAGGAGTACGACGCAGCAGGCGCTGTCCCCGCTGCCAAAATTCATAAAATTCGTATTACCTTGACGAGCAGCAACGTCAAAAACTTGGAAAAATGTTCGTGCACTTCAGATTATCACAAACATATACTTAACCATTAAATATAGTCTCCGCCGACCTCATCAACCGTGCAAAGGACAAGCAGCTCCGTGTCAAGGGCCCTGTCCGCCTCCCCACTAAGGTCCTTAAGATCACAACCCGTAAGACTGTCAGTATCACGACTATATGATATACCTGTATCTCATCGACTCTTGCGTTCCTTAGCCTTGCGGTGAGGGTTCGAAGACCTGGGACCGCTACGAGCTCAAGGTGCACAAACGTCTCATTGATTTGCACTCCTCCAGTGAAGTCGTCAAGCAGATCGTGAGTCTGAATTTTTTTGTTCCTACTACCGGTTCCTCATTCTTTGATTAGACTTCTATTAGCTTGGAGCCTGGTGTTGAGGTTGAAGTCACCATCTCAGCTTAGGTATCTTCACTGTATGTATGTTTGCTGTATGACAAGGCATTGCCGTCCGACACTTTGTTCCACATCGTGAATTGTATGCTTTCATTCCGAAAAGAGCGTGTAATTTGTTGTCGTTGGGGCACCTTTTAGGCATGGTTGGCGGGAAGTTAATAGCCATCAAGTGCCTCGGTGCACGACGGCTGTATGCATTGAGGTTCTGAGATCCAATGATAATCAACTATGATGTTCTTTCATGACTCGAACTAGGATCGTGTTCTTCCTCATCTTCCTCGTCATCCGAAGTCTCCTCGTCTTCACCGCTATCCTCACCAATTCCACTCCCCTCTTCAACTTCAACTTCCTCCTCCTCCTCCTCCTCCTCCTCCTCCTCCTCCTCATCCTCAGACTCGCTCTCACTTGCATAGAACTTGTTCAAATCCCTCCAGTCCTTGGTGTCTTTTGGTGTTGATCCCCCTATGGGCGTGAGCACAACTGTTGAACCTGTAGGTGTGGGCACACGTTGGGACGAGATTGCCTGGGATGAAATCGCTTGAACCGACAAGGCAACTTGGGGTGCGTCGTCATCACTATCACGCAACGCAGGGTCAATTCCCTGTTCCAGCCACTCGGGGAGATCTATCACAGTCTCATCGTCATCGTCATCGTGCAGATGCAAACTTTCACTCTCCATCACGAGAGAAAGCGTTCCGAGTGGACGAGCGTCTGCAGAGGACTGGGATTAGTTGGACATGAAGAGAAAGTGAGAAAAGTAAGTGTGGGTCATAATCATAAACGAGCCCTTCGTCGACAAAATCAGAACTCAAAAACACACTCACCAGCCACCAGCTCCTCTTCAATCGTTCCAGTCTTTCCCTCAAATAACACTCGGGTCACCTGTTCCCTTCTCAACACCACACCCGGCCTTCCCGCCTGCTCTTCCTTATTCCAATTTTCCCCGATGCCTTCCTCATCATTACTGCCCATAATACCCGTAACTGCACCAACAAGAAGTGTCCTCAACATCCTCGCACGGTCACGCACGTCCCAGTCTTCATCGTACCGAGCTAATGTGAAAACATACTGTGCCAGTAAGACCAGTGTACGGTGCGTGGGCGCGAGCAGTATTAGTTTCGCGGCAAGAGTGAGTGTCTGAAGCTTGACTAAGGAAGCCTGGTAGGAGTTAGCATGAGCAGGGATATTATGAAGTGGGTTAAAACCCACCTCAGTGTTGAAGCTCCTCGCTGCCTTGCGCAGTACATCTGGCGCCCAGTCTGCCACACCTTCAACCGTTGTTTTCGTGCCTGTGACTGACCCGTATTGACCGACGAGCCATAGCACGCAAGCTCGCGCGTGGGGGTGCCGGATATCGTCAATGCGCTGAGCCAGCTGGGCAATAATGGAGAGTGGAGCCTGAGCTACGGAGGTCGATTCCGTGCTCGTGAAGGACAAAGGTGCAGCTGATAATGAAGTGGAGATTGATGGCGTCAGCGAGGGAATGTATGATGTAAGGAGAGCTTGCTGCGACGAGAAAGGAGTTGGGAGGGTCGTGGTTGAGGTAGAGGAAGGTGTGAGAAGTTGATTTTGGACGAGGGACTTAAGAACGAGGACTGCATTTGAGACGATGGTATCTATGCAATCATGTAAATTCGAAATATAAGGAGATTCAAATACCGCGCCGACCTTGCTTGCTGTTGATCATTCCCATGAGTGCAGTGAGGCATTGAGGCGTGGACGAGGGAACGAGGCTGGCAATACGTCCAATGGCGTGAATCGCATCTCCCACAACAGAGTCATCTGTGTCTTGAGCATAGTCCTGTATACCCCATGGGAGTTCAACAGTAAGGACAAAGACAACGACATATAATCAAATGCCAGGCGTGGAGTCAAAGGGTATTGGAAGAAAACCAAAAAGAATGGCAATTAGTAACCCCTACCTCCAAATAGGTGAATAAACGTACCATGAATTCTCGCAGTAATGTCTGATGATTGTCAACTGTGCACAATGCCAAGAGAACGGAAATCTTTCTCCGCTTCACCTGCTCTGCATCATCCACACGCACGAGAAAGCGGTTGTGTGAAGTAATGAATAAAACCTAAATATGGATACAAAGGTGGTGGATGTGCAATTCATGCAAGGTCAAGTCGAAAGGAGAATGAAATAGTCCACCGATGAATCCCATTAGCTCTTAATCCAGATCTTAGCAGAAACACATACTGGATGTGAACGTGCGACGACGAGTAAATAAGCCAGTGCAACACGCTCGACCTCACGCGACACGCTGAGGAGGCGAAGGAGAGGTGCGCTAATCTTTGAGAGCATCGATGAAGGAGCAAGGTAGTAGAATGCCCGTGCGACAGCAAGAACAACCTAATCACTTGGTCAACAAGATTTTCGTGGTGGAAGTGGATCAGTGTGCGCACGGCAGGGTTCTTGTTCATGAAAAGTGGCTCCGCGCAGGCTAGCAGCAACTTCAAATCTTTGTCAACCTCTTCACCTTGTCTCTCGCTGGCGGGAACGGGCTTGGGTAACATGGTCCTCACGTATCGCACGAGTACGCGGAGAACGTCGACCTGGCCCCATGCATCAATGTCCGGCAAGGCACGGCAGAGGCGGCGAAAATGCACGTGGAGAAGGTCGAGGCGAGATGGCGCAATGGTGTCGAGAGCAAGAACAGCAGTCCCAAGTGAAAGCGGAGAGCGATCGCGCAGAAGAATTGTCATAATATCGAGCAGAGTTGGATGGTGCGCCTGGTCTACTCTTTATACATACGTTTTGTGATTCGTGAAAAGGATATTGAACTAGGTTAGGTTAGGCTCACTTGTATACCTTGATCACGGCCAACGCAGCTGCCTTGCGAACGTATGGGCTCGGGTCTGCAGCGGACTTGCGGACAGCCATAAGTACGATGGTAGCAACAGTAGGAACACGAATTCCGCTCAGCACGCGAAGAGCCATGGCGCGTATGAGAGGGCTGGGGTCAGCGAGATCCCGCTGGAAAGTATTGATCGACAGCAATGCCAGATCAGGTTCAGATGGTGCACAACGAAGGAGGTAGATGTACACCAGCTTGCGTAGCTCGAGGTTCGGGCTGGCTACGTTCTTGACTACAGCAGGGAAATATGAGGAGACTGGCCGGTTCTTTGAGATGAGCTGAGGAGAAGCAATGTTATAATTTCTATACAGATGTTACACCGACTGGCACAAACCGCGATCAATCGTTTCATGGCATCCAGCTTTTCACGGTCGCTGCTTGATTCGAGCTGCTTTGTTATATTCTTCGCCTTGTCGTCCGCCATGTCAAACAATGAGCTCCCGCCCCGTGTTAACGACAAATCCCGGGTGTGCTCAGCTATTGTCTCTTGAATCCTCATCCCAAGGCGTGTTGCATTCTCGCTCAGAGCGTTGAGGTTGATCCCATCCATCGTTTGGTGTGGACATGCACGTAAGTCTTAAGGCTTAAGTTGAAATCGGTGTGATCATGATCTCACGTGCCACCAACACGTCGGAGTCAAGCTCAGAACTTCAATTTCATTTGCCAATAAGGCCTTACAGTGGGAGTCTGTAAATCACAGATGGTCGCAGTGGGAACTGTTCTCAAAGCCTGGAAATGTAGAAGCAGCGTACAAAGGTTCGCAGAAAATCACTGAAGTAAGCCGAGTCTATCATTGAATAGAAAGGTGCAAGAGCATAGACTATCAAGGCTCGAGTGATGCAGGGAATGTTTCGTTCTCCCTCTGCTCGTCCCACTTCGCTACCTGGACATGACAGCATATATAAGGAATCAAGCTCTGCACCAAGGTATTGAACACCTACCCATTCATCTAAAGGAACAAGAGTCAAGACGATTAACGGAACTTAATAGAAAAGGAACATACTAGGACACAATGAGTTGTAGGCGCGCTTAAATTGTTTGCATGGTGCGAAGTCTTCACCCTTGGCGGCGACGCACTTAAAGTAGTCCGTGTAATTCTGGAAGCTGTTGTAATGTAGCACGATCAGAACAAACGATGCATGCTAGAGATAAGTCGCTACTCACCAGTGACGCGTCTGGTTGGTGTTCGGAAAGCGAGCTGTATCCAACCGAAACCAGTTAGCTGGGGTAAAACATGGACCAAGGAAGAGTAGGACGCACCGTCAAAGCCAGCAGTTTGAAGGACGTATTTGCTAATACTCTGTAAGCATAGAGTAAGACCGACAAGAATAATGTAGACAGACCTCGACAGATCAGCAGCCTCAGAGTCAGACATTTTTGTGTGATGGATGCGGTCTTAGAAACTTGAGTCGGGTTTGGACGGAGTATGTCGATTAGTCAGCATGTCACCTTAGATTTCACCGTGACACAACTGCACAGTCTGCACAGACACTCAATTCCTATTTAAACGTCATGGATGCTCTCAAAGCTGAAATTGCACTCAAGCGCAAGTACGTGCAGAATGATGCAGAAATGCGTCCGTCCAAGTACGTGCGTCGCGGTGAACTTGAGCGCATAAAAGAAGAAGAAGAACGGCGAGCACGCGAGGAGAAAGAAAAGGAAAGGGCAGCGGAGCAGGCGGCAGAGAGGGACGCTGCACTAGCCAGAAGCAAGCAGAAGAAAAAGGTGATATCATGTTATCATATTTGCTGCTAGCATATTTATGGGCTGTAGCAGGTCGACACTTTCTCGTGCTCCACTTCTAACACTCCTTTACCGGAAAGTCGGGACCCAGACTCGACAATTTTAGAGGGTTTATTTAACATTCCCAACAATGAAGCCATCCGCCGACTGCGAGCCAAAGGCCAGCCGATCCGACTTTTTGGTGAAAGCGACCGCGACCGGCGCCTGCGTTTGCGTGCTCTCGAACTCATCGAAGAGCGCGGACATGAGAAAGCTGGCACAAATGACTTTAGGAAGGCACTGGAAGATGTTGAGAGTGTTGAGAGGGAGTTGAGGGCTAAAAACGATAAGGGGAAGAAGAAAGAGGACGGAGAAGTGAGCAACAATGCTGGGAGTGTAGCCATGGTGGATCTAGGGTTGTTAAAGACAGATCCGGACAAATTGTACCCCGTCATATACTACGCACTCAAGCGGACGCTCAAGGAATGGGAGGAGGCAATGGATGAACGACCAGGTATGTCTTGCACAAGTGTTAACTTTATGTCTAACAGGAGATACAGAAAACGTCAAGCGGACTCACCAGGGCAAACTGGCTGCAGCAACGCAAGTCCAATCTGCCGAGTATCTAAAGCCGCTGTTTAAAACACTTCGTTCACGAGTGAGTCTACCCTTCCACTTTTCTCGATCATTTCATTTCTTGTCTTTGTATATAATGTTCGAATTTACTTTATGCCACTCATAAAAACTTCACACATAACGTTGTTTGTTGTCACCACAGACTTTTTATTTTAAAAGTGGAATCATTGAGCTGACACTCGATTGTCTTAGAATCTACCGCCGGACATGCTTGTACGCATAGCTGAAATAGTATATTACATGCAAAAGCGGCAATATCAGAGAGCAAATGACTCGTACCTTCGGCTGTCCATTGGAAATGCGCCATGGCCGATTGGTGTTACGATGGTGGGGTGCGCATTTGTCCTCCATTCTTACCATCACGTTCGTCTCATTTAAACGACTTGCTAGTATCCATGAACGTTCCGCGCGCGAAAAGATCTCCACAGACCAGGTTGCGCATGTGCTGAATGACGAAGTCAGCAGGAAATATATACAGAGCCTCAAACGGTTAGTCTCATTTCTTTTGTATATTTCCTTTTCATTCTTGCTTCACTCCAAGTGCCAACTCGGCTGATGCATCCTCTCAGGCTCTTGACGTTCTCTCAGACAAAATACCCACCAGAGGACGTTTCACAGCTTATGGGATAGTTGAGTCTACGTTGGTCGTGTTTATGCTGCTCTAGTAGAGTGCTTGTGTGTTTATCATCTGTACTGGACATTTTATTAAGCTGATTATATATCTCATAGCTTGGCACATCCTAGTGCAAATTCTAGGGTGTCAAGATGCTATGCGTTCCGGTGACCCATTTTCTATCTGGTATCGATAGCGATCTTCATCGTCAACCCGATCACAATCGCCCCTTGCGCCCTTTCTTCCCTCGCGCCGACTCTTCGGCGGATTCAGCAAGCGCGTGTCCTGTTTCGCGGATGTGTATAAATAGCTTTGTACGGCTCTCAAAGGGTGATTTGCACACGTTGCAAACCTATAAGTATGTCAACACAATAGAACCATTGCGCGTATGGAGATGTGCAGACCATGCTGTGTTCTGCCTCGACAACATTGGCGGCTTTCTTCGCCTCTCGGAGCTTTCGTTTTTCCCGTTTTGAAAGCTCAGGCTGGGAAGACATCACTTCCTGAGAATCATCCCTACTTTTTGGTGGAGGGGAGGATGCTGGCGCATCGCTTGATGGTCTTGTTTGGGGCTTGAATTTTTTCTTTTCATCTTTTTTGCGTACTAGTTGGTCATCCTCAGCCGGGAGTTCCTCTGTGGGTGAACCGACTTCATCTTCGTCTCTGTTTTCGAGTACCGGCTCTGGAGGCGTTGGTGGGGGTAGAGGAACGAACTCGCTATCGAAGTCTCCATCCACCTCCTGGATCTCGTCGCTTTCTCCCTCCTCCGGTCCATGCTGGAGTACTTCTTCCTCTTCCCACATCTCTCTCTTCAGTCTCTCGATCTCACGCATGTGCTTCTTGCTACGCTCGTGGCTGTCCCATGCAGCTTCGCTGCGAAAAGTCTTCCCGCATGCGACACACTCCCATTCCTCTGTGTTACCTTCACCTGCCGCCCATTCGAGGTCGGCATCAGCATCATGATCCATACCCCCTGTTCTTTGCCAAGCTTGCTCTACATAAGGTTTGGCAGGCTGGGGGCGTGGAGTGGAGGACCCAGATGTGGGGGCTTTAGCTTCGGATAAGACTTTGTTGGCTTGAGATTGTGCAGCCAGATGAACCTTGTATCGCGGGTCGCGCTTGCGAATAAAAGTAGCCAGTTGCTGCGCACCGAAATTTAGAAAATGTTTTAGTAAGATGTAGCTGTAAGCAATCACTCTGATAGTCTCATTATAGTCCTTTCGCGCCTCATCCCTGGCCTTTTTGTTGTCTCTCTCCATGAGCCTGAAAGGTGTTCAGCCATATAATGCGAGAAGACACTATCACTCACCGTCGCACTCGGCGATCGGGTGCCTCTGCAAGATTCCACTGTTCCGTCCATACGAAATCCTTGAGAGTCGCGAAGTTAAGCCACGCATTGTAGAAATTGCGTGCGGCGGGCGTATTTGTTGATTTGGGTGTGGACCAAGGCCAGGAGGCGTCTCCAAAGCTGGGATACTCGATCTGGGAAATGAGGTTCTCCTCCTGTGCCAAGCGTGTAAAGAGATTGCGATAGATTGTGAAGAAGCTCTGGTGGTGGTGAGTATGAGTAGTGATCATGATATATGTATTATTGCGGTTATGTGGGGCAATGCATTATACGTGGAACGCACATTCTCGCTATCGTCAAAGCCTGACCAGACTGTCGCATCAAAAAATCGAGCGAGATGTCTGACAGTCAGCCCCCGGTCGCGGGCACGGGGAGGTGGGGCGCCTTTTCGGATGTCCTCGAAGACGGCCTCTGCATCAGGTTCCGGTGCCAGAGATGCTTTGTGAGAGTCATACCAGGCTCTTTCCTACTTGCACGGTACAGTCAGGAGCTACACAGAGGAACGCATAAATAGCAGGTACCAACCTGGTTATCACTCAACACCTGTCGATCCGACATGCGATGAGCCTTCGACTCATCCTTGAGGGTGAGAAATCGCACCTCATATGCTTGCTGAATAGCGGCGAATCTTTTGGTAGCACCTTCGACATCATCTTTATTCTTGTCAGGATGATGAACAAGGGCTAATCTTCGAAAGGCTTTCTTGAGGACAATTAGACCACGGATACTGAATCAGTGACACAAAAGTTGATGTGAGACGCATCATACCTTGATCTCGTCGCCGTTTGCCGATTCCTCGACACCCAGCAACTCGTAGTAGTCAGGGACTGCATCTTCGGATTCAGTGTTGCGTCCGGTGGATTCGCGTGCACCCATGAACGTATGAGACTGCTCTTAGTATCACTGCGATCGCAGTACAAAGATACCGCGCGCCCGTTAGAGTGTCCAATTGCTCCCGAAATCACACACGTACAGGACCCGTCGTCACTTCAAAGTTCATCAAGAATTTTCGTTCAACCGGTTGAACCAAGTCGTTCCAAGGAACTTTCCAAGCTATCCCACTAGCTCCTCGTTGTCTGCAACATGTCCGACTTCTTCAAATCGTCGTCGTCGTCTAGTTCTCCGTCAGGTATGTGACGTGCAGCTATATTCTGACTGCTACTCAGCACATGCTTTGTAGACATGACTGCAAAAAAAGAAGCCGTGATGAATGGTGTGCGCTCCGAGATTGCCCTTGCTAGCGCGCAGGAGCTTATAAACGTGTGGTCCCTACTCTCTCTACTAGTGTCCACAGTAACAAAGGCTTTCAGAAAACGAATGAGAAATGCTTCGCTAAGTGCATAGCGAAACCTGGGACCTCCTTGTCTAGCTCAGAGGAGGTGAGTGTGCTCACAGAGTTCGCAAGGTAGATGCTGACATTTTCTCACATCTAGACATGTTTGTCTCGATGCCTCGAACGTTACCTGGAAACATGTGAGTGTCTGACCAAGATACCCTGGCATGCAGCTGCTCACGGTCTCGCAGTCAACATAATTAGCAAAACCTACAGTGCCCGCTTAAGCAGAGAACGCGAGCAGCGGCAACTTAATCAGATATAGTCGGCATATTGTATCTATACCACCTCCCTCCGTCAATCGTACTTTCATTTTAGTTGTTCATCAATCTCACCTGCATGTCATTAAGGCGGCTCCATTCTCGACCCTGAAATCACGAGGCTGGCATGGAGGATTTATTACCATCTACTGTGCAAGCTATGGTGTATGAAAATGTGTCTTTGTGTTTGCGAGTAAGGTATTAAACAAAGATGTATACCAGCGTTCAACGAAGGAAGGTATGCTTCCCATGGAGCGTGGAATGACAGACCCCGTACCAAAGATGTGGAAGCGAAGCGGTGCAGGGTATTAAAATGTTAAAAGTCAACTTGCGAAGCGAAGGTGAATGAAGTTTGTACCGCAAATGAAGGCGAAAAATTATTGGGCAACCCATGCGAAGTAGCGCAAAGGTCCAGGGTGTTACAATTTTTGATCAAAGGGTTCATCTCAGATTCATATAGTAAACCAGGTATTGAGTTAATGAGGCTCAGCCTCGTGTGCTGTAGTCATTTGTGGGAGGATAAAATGGAGTTGTCAATAACGGCGGCGAAGGAGAAACGAATGGTGTCTGGGAAGAGGAACTAGGGGTTGGTCCATTGCTAGAGTATGGAGAAGTCATCGACATAGTGCCATCATACATATGATGCACTGGTGCGGATGAATAAGAACGTGGGGGGACACTATGGGTATCGGTTGGACCGTAGTCGACTGGGGATTGAGATTGTTGCGATGCACTATGCGATGACGCGGAGTTCGCATATTCCGAGAACATCGGTGAATGAGACGATAGGTGGATGGACGGGTGATTACGGCTAGAATACGGTGAGAAAGATGATGAAGCGTACGGGGCTGAGTGTGGCCCTGGGGTTGGATTGACAGGCAAGTCCACAGCGAGAGGCTGGTGACTAGGGCGATGGAGATGACTCAATTGCATGGTACCACCTGAAAAGGATCTTCTCCTTATGTGAACAGGACCTTCTGCCCTTCTAGAGTCGCTGACATCTCCACCGTACGGGTATGCGGGTCCTGTTAAAATTGCCATGGGAGGTTGGGGGACCTCCATGAGAGGTGGCGGTGGCTCCTGAGAGTAATAGGACGGTGAATGAAGGCGAATATCCGACCCAGAAGCATGGGCATTCAGATGACGCAGAATGTGTGCAAGCTGTACCGCTGAACCTATCAAGTCATGACGCAGGATCTTAGTGGCTTGTTGTCCTTCCGTCCAATCCGCACATTTTTTCCACTGTCGGGTAGGCCCAGGACTCGAGAAGGACTCGAGGTAAAAAGTTGGCGGTTGTGAAAGGATAAATGAAGCCAGTCCTGACCCTGGCGCCGCGTTTGTAAATTCCGTATGAACGATAATGTCGAAAGGAATTTCCATCTTAAAGCCATAGCCCGCCGAGTGGATGAACCACGTCAAGCACCGCTTGCCGTCACACAGGTAGGCCACGAGATCATGCTTCCCTACAGCGGTTGCAATACGACGCCACGTCCCTATAGACAAATCATTACATGGAATGATAGTCACCGCTGGTAGCAAAGACGGCATAAGTAGAGAAACCAGGCTCCAAAAGTTTGGCAACTTACGTTCGTCTTCATGTATGAGGCTATGTAACTCTGCTTCATATCCGGTCGCCAATTCTGGGGGAGTATCTGGTGGGGTTTCAGCGCCGTCCCCTCGACCCTTCTTGCCATCTTGCAATTTGGCCTTTGCGCGTCTGAGGGGCCGTTATCAGCGGTGCTTGTGCGCTGCAGAGAATTTACAGACCTGTTTTGGAACCATATTTGTGTTTGTCGTTCCTGCATGCCCAACAAATCACTGATTTCTTTCCTCCTCGCTGCGGTGGGACTTCTGTCCATCGAAAAGAAGCGTTCCAAATGGATAAGTTGTTCAGGAGTGACACGTGAACGCTTTCGCTTCTCTCTTTCCCACTTGGCACCTACGCCGCTGATGGACTTTGACCTCTCTGGACCAGAAGATGGGACTTTGCCAGAATCTGCCTCGTTGCTGTCTGATAACGACGCGGAGCTGGGTCGGACGGTCCCAACATTGACCGGAGACTGAGCTGATGAACTAATGGGAGAAGGCGAACAGTCTGACGAAGTATGGGGATTTTCGCAGTGTAAAGGATGCCTTGGCAGTTCATCCTGCCCAACATAGCCTGCACGTGCCATATGCATCCAGAGACGAACGCACAAAATGCGCTCTGGAGTACAGGTTTCGTACCCAGCTTCCAAGTCTAGCGGCAGAGGTAGGAAGCAGAAAGCAGACGATCGCAGCAAGGGAGGTTATCCCTTTTACTTGTTTATTTGGGCGGCTTTTGGTGCAGTTGTAAAAACCGGAGATCGATTGCCCTAATGTCAAGTTGTTGAATTGAATGAGACGCAATTCAGGCCCTTGTAAGGACAAGGTAGCCAGAAACGGTCAGAGAGGTGGCAGACCAATCGTACGCCAGATCAGGCGATCACGCAGCCTACTCAAAAGGCAAGTCAGAAAGGAGAATGATGGGTCGCGCAGGAAGATTCACGCATGGAAGGAGAGAGGAAGGTACGAATCAAAGCCAAAATAATGGAACTCACCGGATCGGGGTACCAACCAAGGAACCGTAGTTGGGGGAGATGTCTACTTCCGTGCTGCGACGGTTGAACTACGCATCCATAAAATTTGATGTTCTGCGTAGAAAACTCTTGTGCAAGTTCGACAGAGTGAGATGAACTTGAACGCGGTGCCCAGAGCGTTATAAAGTTTGCTCCATGGTTAGTGTTCTAAACAAGCGGAATCCTTGGGTAGGGTCATGTCCGTATGCTGTAATCCTGCTTGCAATGATGACTAGTTTGGAATGATCTGTCGGATTCGGGTAGCTGGCTGAGTTGAATCTTTGATGGGTCCCAGGAACTGCTACCATTGGCGGGCAGATACGCATGTTTGTACGTTGTCTGTCAAGCAAGCAAAGCTTACTTACCGCACCCGAACCTGCATCACGATCTAGTGTGCTGGCACTTAAGAATTCAGCTTCTTATCCGGTCTCTGAAACAAACTGATGGTAGGTGCGGCTGAACAAAAAAGTTGCGGCACCGGGAGTTGCTATGCAGTTCGGAAGAAATGATCAACATGAGAACTAACCTTTTTCGCGAATAACATTCCATGTGTCTCTTGATAGAAAAAGTACGCGGACAGTTTCGGCTCAAAAACGGGGTACTGCATCATGCCTCACTGTCTGTAGTCATAATACTTACATAACATACCAAAGACCCCAAAAATATGTTTTACAGCAAAGATTTTTGAAGGTAAAAGGATCGACTTCCGATCGGACATGTCAACGTTTTGCCTCAGGCTGTGCTAGCCTGTGATCCGTGACGTTCTCTCCCGAAGAAGCCGATAGTCTGGTTTTACCGGCGATCCGTTGATCACACTGTATCTGAAGTCAGCAAAGTTGAGTCAGATGACACGCAGACTTATGAAAACCATCTAACCGACACTGCAACACTCAGACTGCATCCTGCACAAGGTTGCCCACCGCCAGCGGTACCAAGGGGTACGTACTTACCGTCACAGTACCGTATAGGGACCGTAACCACGGGCCTGTCAGTGATCTCAGATCGAACCTTGAGGCGGGCGCTGATAGGCGCTGATTGGCCCGAAAATCCTCCGAATAAAACGTTTCACATAATAGTAACATAATAGTCATATTACGCTTCTCATCTGTACATCATGACTACTATTGCTCAAGTACTGAAAGGCCGTTGTAACAGTATAGCACTCACGCTTGCCTTAACCATCACCCATAAAAATAGGCCATCTCCTAGTAATAAAATAGTGATACTTACGCAAAAGGCTGCAGAGCAATGTGACAACAAAAGCGTTCAGTACTTACACACCCCACCTAGCGCAGAGTCATGGGACTTGAAGCAAGAAGCTCGAGAGAACCGAAAAAAAAACTGGACGTATCTCACCCAGCCGCAACTAATATCGCGGTCGCTTGGCGTCCCTGTCATCATACCCACCAGGTCCTTCACGTTTGAGGTCTCCACGGAATCCACCTCTACCTGGACCGAAGCCGCCTCCTGGTGGTCCATAGCCTTGTTGTGGAGGACCGCCAAAGCCACCGGGACCACCAGGAGCTTGAGCACCTGGAGGGCCGAAGCCATTAGCAGGAGCATCACCGCCAAATCCACCTCCGTGGTAACCAACGCCCCCGCCTCGACCACCCCTGTAGAGAGATAAGTCACAAATGAAGATTATGTTGAATGTTTGAACCAACCTGTAGCCATCGTCACGTCCACCTCGAAAGCCACCTCCACCTCCACCCCGGAAGCCACCCCGGTCCCCAAAGCCGCCACCTCGTTCCCCAAAGCCACCACCGCCCCCTCTAAATCCGCCACCGCGACCGCCACGAAATCCGCCCCGGTCGCCAAATCCTCCTCCCCTACCTCCTCCCCCACCGCCTGCAAAACCGCCTCGTCCACCGGGAACTCTTGGAGGGGGTAATACGGGTTGTTCGACTGGTTTGGGGCGTCCGCCAAGACCTCCACCAAGACGACGGGGTTTCCACCCTCTTACAGTCCGACCACGTTCGACATCGACAAGTATGCGTTTGCCCATGATATGTAAACCATCAGATTCCTTGTAAGCCGCTAAAAAGAGCTCAGTACAAATGAAAGAAACAACACTTTTACCATCATTACCTTTCATATCTCGTTCGCGTTCATAGACGATGAATGCGTAGCCTCTGCAACGACCTTTCTGGTCCCGCACAAGCCTTACCCGTTCAATGGTGCCAAAACTCTCGAACTCGCGTCGAAGGTCACTTTCGGTGGCATTTTTATTCTGCATCAAAAGGTGAGCGAAACGCACAGAATTGATACGATGATGAAGCTAACCAGACGTGAGATGAAGAGCGTCTTATATGGGTCTCCAATGGCTTCCGCATCATCTGCAGGCTTGTCTAGAAATATGAAGATGCTTAGCGGACCTATATCACGTCGACAAAAATGACCACTCACAGGTCTCCTTTGCGATCTTGAACTCTTCTGTCTTTTTCTTTTTGCGTTCCTCTCTCCGAATTTGCCGTTTGGTTTCTTCGGCCAGTGTAAATGCAGGTTCCTCGCCTTCTTCCATCCCGTCTCCAACTTCACCATTCCCCGCGATTAATGTTGCAGTTGAGACTTCCTTGAGTCGCGCTAGGATACTTGCAACACCATCAACATTTTTGGAAGTTACACGATGAATGTCTTTGCCAACTGGTCGTGCATAGGGAAGAGGCGGTCGAGGTGCAAATAGTTTTAGAAGATTTGGTGGGAGGAGATGTGTGCCAGGCATGGCAAGGTATTAAGACGGGACCTTGCGACAATGCTGAGGTGCAATTACAAGAGCTCAGTAAGCTGCTTGCTGTAAACTTTTTAGAAACGTGTAACGAGTCGTTGTGTGAGACGGCGTTCAAACTCCGCTGACTGAAACCTTGGTCTGTGCGCTGGTGCAGGTGAGTTGGTCGCCGCTATCCGTGACAACAAGCTCATTCACAAATCACTCCTCTGTATTCAGAAATGAGAAAAATACATGCTTTCCAGTCATGTAGCAAAATTTTTATTTCCCGCACGTCAAGTGCATCACGCTCTCTCGCTAGCCAAAGGTTTATGGCCTCCACGGCTTTCAGTAGACCGTACACCGTATCTTCTGCGGGTCGAGATTTTACCTCCTTCTTTTGCCACAATCAACTGTGGTCCGCTCGCAGTGATGGGCTAAAGCCTTCTGATATGACTCGCGTCCGGGGCATTGCACATGCAGTTGCAGAACCAGATGCAATTCACGTCACCCCCGCAGGCTTCAAAGAAGTTGAAGTACTCACCCCGAGACGCCTACTGAGGATTTACGCGCAGCTTGCCAAGTCACGCCTGACTATCTTGGTCGTATTGACCGCAATGTCAGGAGTAGCTCTCTCACCACTTCCTGCGACAGTCCCAATTCTCCTCTCCACAGCTGTTGGCACGGCCCTCTGTTCAGCCTCGGCAAATACTTTGAATCAACTTCAAGAAATACCTTATGATGCTCAAATGGCTCGCACCCGCCAAAGACCGTTGGTTCGCAGAGCCATTTCCCCTTTGCACGCTGCAGGATTTGCCGCTGTGACAGGAGTAGCAGGTCCTGCAGTACTGTGGTTCATGGCGAGCCCAATTACAGCATGTCTAGGCGCAGCCAACATTGTACTTTATGCAGCGGCATACACTTGGTTAAAACGTAAAAGCGTCTCCAATACCTGGGTGGGCGCAGTCGTTGGTGGTATCCCGCCGGTCATGGGTTGGACGGCCTGTGGTGGAAAAATTCTCCCATCTGCAGATTACCCAATTCACCTTTTCCTTCCTTCGTACTTCACAGAGGCACCACTAGACACGTCCATGATTGATAACCCCCTTGGCGCGTTCGCATTATTCATGCTTCTGTACAGTTGGCAATTCCCTCATTTCAACTCATTGTCGCATTTTATTCGAGGTTCCTACGCTCAAGCAGGCTACAAGATGCTGTGCGTGCTAAACCCACAACAGAATGCTCTCGTGGCTCTGCGCCACTCCTTACTCCTTGTCCCTATTTGTTCTATCTTATTCCCACTGTCAGGATTGACTACGTGGGCCTTTGCTATCACAAGCTTAGTCCCGAACGCAATTTGCGTTCGTGGTTCTTGGGCCTGGTGGCGGCGTTGTGGAGAAAAGGAAGCAAGGATATCATTTCAAAACTACCTGTGGTATCTACCGGTGATGCTGGCCCTGATGATGGTTCACAAGCAAGGGCTAGAATGGAGACGTTGGGTAGGGATGCAAGATAAGGTACCGTCGGACGGAGCAGATATACCAAAGCCAAAAGTATAAACTGTCCAATTAATCTTGACATATTATGCCTATAGCCACTGCAAGTTTTCACACGTCAGATCAAACTTACTTTCAACTCATCTACCCAAGGGCGACTCCGCTGTGTTGCTGAACTTTGCACGTGACCGAGCCACCAGCTTCAATCGTGGAACGAGCGGCTCAGCGCCTGTTTTCTGACGACGCGGAGCTTTGGCCACAATATCGGACGCGTTTTTACATGGGCGTGCTACCCCCACTTGCGCGTATTGTGGGCAACATGACTGAGACAGAAGTGGGTGTATTACCCCCACAGTCTCATGATATTGGCAACTTTGCATCTGGTAATGCTTGCAAGACGTATTTGGGGAGAGTACAAACGACGTATAAGGTCTCTGAATGCCGTTCCTTCTGATATAGTGGCATATAAGTCTTTGGACACTTATGCGTACCTGTTGCCAGCGATTTTGCGAGCTTTGCTTTGATTTCGGACGTTTGATTGGATTCGGGACGTTTTTATTTCATTGGTCTAGTTGAATGTTGAACGTTGAGCCATCGAGGAACCTAGTCACCTGAGCTAAGTTTATGCCAGTGTGAGCGTAGATGGCCAAATATAAAATTCAAAATTCAATCGTCTATGACAACATCCTGCTTGTTCTTTCTCTCCTCCCTACGTCCCTCACACCAATCTCCAGCGCTATTATGCTATACCCGGAAAACAGTGAGCGTGCATGAGTTGTTGCACGCCATGTCGCAGGTCTGTTCTGGCATTGTAGCCCGGCACGTGGTCCGCACATTCCGGCTGCTGTTGTGTACATCTGAAGTTATGGTGGCTTTTAGATATGCGGCGAGCCACATTATAGAGAGGTTCACCTTCTACTTTGTGAGCCATTCATCTGGCAGCTATTAAACCCTGATCGAGAGGACCATATGTGTGCTTCCAGATGCTTAGACATCTAATCCCGCGAGGCACACGGCGCCCGTATGCAAGGGAGTGCATCTTGAAGTCGCACGTAGTCCTCCACCATCGATTTTGAACGAGTCAGTCCGTCCCCCAGCTATCGGGTTGCTGTCCTTTACAGCTGATTATTTTGCAGCATATCGTACCTGCCACGATCGAGATAATTCAGACTCGCGTTAATCCAAGTAGTCAGATGTCCAACACATCATCATTGCATATCTGCTGACTCGGGGAGGGCTTACATTGTCAAGAAACTGAACAAGTTCGTACTTTCTGAGCCAAGTATTTGTGAAAGGGAAGCGGGAGTGTCAAGGTTGATCTGCATTAGGTTTTGGAGTCTTGAAATGATCTGCTCGTGCAAATAATGCTAGGTATGATTGAAAGTGGAAGTCTTCATTCGCGCACTGAATTCACTTGCGATGGGTGAAAGCGTAAGGCGATAGCCCGTGTTAAGAAACAAGTGCGCGTGGACGAGGGCCATATTTCGGATGGAGCACTGGCGCTGGCCAGACGCCAAAATATATGCCGTGCAATCAGATCATGGTATATTACACCTAGAACATGTGATTCAGACTCGATCGAGGGAATAAATAATTATCGAAAACCTTGCTACACCGCAATTTTTGGCTTTGTCTGTGCAGCCTCTCGTTTTATCCTCAATGCCTCCAACCTACGTTTCAGTACACTGACTTTCATGTCTGCCTCTTCCTGTGCCCTCTCCTCATCTAATAAGCGGTCCATGATCATTTCCCTTTCATCCTGATCCTTCCTCCGCCTTTCCTCGTCCGGGTCTGATTTAGCCTCAACCTCTGGAGGATCCTTCTCACCCTGCAGGGGAGGGAAACCTTCTGCCACGTCAGAAACCAGATCCGGTTCTGCAAATACAGTCGCCCGGTCATATGTCTCGTGTGCATCAGGCGCATTAATCACCGTCTGTTGGAACTTGATCCACTCTTGGTCAAGCTCTGGTTGAGTAACGATAACAGCCTGAGTGTGTGGCCCCGATTCCTTCGCGGGAGCAACTATAGAAAAGTCGACCTCTTCGTCATCCGAGTTGTCTGAAAGGGATGGCGGTGGCGCTTTTGAGGGGTCAGAGAAAAAGTCTGACGGAAACGCGCTAGAACGAGGAGTTGAGGTAGCAGGCTCGGTTTTCTGCTTCTTGGCTGCATCTCCGCCAGGGACATCTTCAACTGCCTTTCTTTTAGCGACGTTAGCCTCCTGTGCAGCCTGTCGCTGTTCCCTAACCCTCTCCTGTTCTTTAGCGCGAGACACGTTCGTACGGTGTGCTTTGCTGCCGAGATGACCGTCCCAAGCAGATGCATGCTTGATATTCGTTCCGCAGACGGAGCATCGCAACTGTCCGGTTGTCGTATAAGATGCTAGTGAATGGGTTACTCGTGCTTCCTGGCGTTTGGCTTTAAGTAGGGCACGGACGTCTGCCATGATAGAGAGTTGCTCGAAGCTAACCTTAGCAGAGGAGTTGGTTATATCAGCATACTACTTTAGGCAACTGCCATAATCCGGAGACACCGTACTACATAATGCTAGTGAACGGTATTGACAGTCACCGATCGTGAATAGCGTTGAACAGCACTCCGAGAATCCCAAGACCCTTTAAATGTCGATAGCCTGACAGTCTTTCCGCTCTGGAGTTTGTAATCGTGCTTGTTGTTCTCGCGGAGGTCTTCTAGTGACGCCTGCTGTTTCTGCTGTTAATTTCGGCTATCCTGTTCGCCTCGGCTTTTGTTTATCAAACTTGACAGCATTGCATTGTGTGGATGCGGCTACACTCTTCAGTTCGCTAGCACTGTGATACACAAACACATGCTCCCCTGCGCTGGACATCTGGACTCATCCATTACTTGATAATATCCAGCTTCTCTTCAAACGTTCGGACGGTCGGAAACTTTGGATATTTGGGAATGACAACATTAAGAATGCGCAGATGCTCATAATTTGCAACAGGGTCCCGGAATTGTCACCGAACTATGACGTGGTCTCGTAACCTCCAAAAAGAGAAAACCCGCTAATTGCAACAGATTTCGGAGCGTGGCATGCTAGTCTACTCGCGTCCTCATCGTGATGCATGTTTCATTTTTGTACAGATTCCACGCACGACACCTTACCGGACATAAGAAGACGGCCAATCGGATCGTCATCCCGCCTACAACCGTATATATGATCTCGGAGTTGCACTCTAGCCTGGCTTGTACCAGAACCAAGAAGACACCATGCCGCGATTTATGATGTGGTGTACCCACTTCATCACGCTCGTCGTTCCAATCGTCTCAGCAATAGAAGTCACAATTCCTCTTACCGCGCCCTTGGGAGCAGCACCACTTAAGGGGAACCTCGTTTCGCTTTCAATCGAGCAAGATAGGTGGAACGAATGGGCAGGGACGACAGAACCAAATACATTTTTCAACAACGTCCTTGATAACTTTATCCAAATTACGAATACTCCTCCCTTCGTGAGAATAGGTGCTGACTCGGAGGACCATACTGATTTCAGCCATGACGTCGAGGTAAATTTATTTTAATGTGAATTGGTTCGTGTGTTTAGCTGGTGCATAGTACGAAGAAGATATTTTCCCTCCTTCAAGCACAATCACGCCATACCCAGAAGCCACTAATATAACTGTTGGGCAAGGCTTCTATGATATTATCTCTCATCTTCCCAACGGTAGTTTAACTTTTCAGAGACTCTCAAGCGACTAACTTGCTTTACTTTCAGGGACGCAAGTTCACTGGGGCTTGAACTTGAGGGAATACAACCTCACGGCAGCCTACCTCGAAACTGTCGCGCTCATGAATGCATTTTCTTCCCCCGCTGTCCTAGAGAAACACATTGATCTGAAGTTCATCGAAGTTGGCAACGAGGCTGATCTCTACCACAAGCATAAGAGCCGTAACGGCAGCTGGAATGTACAAGAATATGTCTCTGAGTAAGTTTATGACGACGACTTCCTTATTAGTGCTGACCGGTATGTATATAGGTGGGAGGAATTTGCGTATAACGTATCGATAACAGCCAACCTTTCCAAGTTATCTTGCACAAAATTAATCGGAGCCGCTTTCGCTGGGTCTTCTCACAACAACCTTAGCGGTTTCTCTCCGCAAGCTATATTTAATCTGGGCATTCTTGAATCTCCTGCAGGTCAACTGATCGAGACGTATGTTAAATACAACCTTAGAATCTGGATGGCGTGCTGAATCCCATGGTTAGCATTTCGCAGCACCATTATAGTGGCTCATTCTGTACTGGCAGCGGAGCTGCGCTGCAGGACTTAATGACCAAGAGCTATATCCGTGGTAATTTATCCGCGTTTATCCCAGATATTGAGGCGACCTTGGTCAACGGGCTGAAGTACATCCTCGGGGAGACAAACAGTAAGTTATCGTCTGATAATTGTTCGACAGCACTAGACTTGCTAACTTGTTCATAGGTATCAGTTGCCACGGTGCACCTAGTAAGGTCGACAACATGAACAATGGTCGCAATAACTTACGTATGATCGTCCTTTTCACCAGATGTTAGCAATACAGCCGGCGCCGCCCTCTGGTTACTTGACTACACTTTGTATGCCACACAAGTTGGTATTAGTCGCTTGCACTTCCATGAGGGCATTGGCTACAAGTACAATTTGGTCAGTACTCATCTAAGTCAATGCGGCGTTGCTCAATCCCCTTATGAGCAGATTCAACCCGTGACGCTTAACTACTCAATTCTCGACGGTTCCCCGATTGCACCGCTGGCACCGCACGTACAGCCAGCATACTATGCAGCTATTATCGTCGCAGAGGCTATCGGGTCATCTGGGACCACGCAGGCAGTTGAAATCTCCATCGATGAAAATAATGTATCGGGCTATGCATTTTTTGAGCATGGAAGCCTCTCAAGAGCTGTCTTCATAAACACGGTCGCGTACTTTTCCGGCGCTGGTGCAAGGAATTCGACTCACATCGATTTCTCTTTCACGGGTCTCGGATATCCTCCTAACAATACGAGCGTGAAGACGCTGAAAATTGGGTATGAGCTGATTTCTTCATCGTTGCGGCCTGGATGCTAAAGCTATCTATAGCTATGCCTCCGACACCAGTAATCTGACCTGGGGAGGTCAGACGTACGAGACTAGCGACGGTAGAGTTGATGGGTCCCTAACCGTTGATGTCTTACCTATCAGCTCTGGAGTAGACTTGCAAGAGACGGAAGCAATCCTCGTTACGTTTTCTTGACAGTAATTATAATGCAGTCACCAGGACAATTATTCGCTGCGTCTTGCCGATATCACAATACATCCTTCGTACGTATCTATTTACATATACATTCACCTATCACACAAGTTCCATTCACGTTCACTCCGTTTCAATGATCCTTTAATATTCAGTGTCTAGAATATTCCTTTCCCTCAGTCTTTCCAACTAAGACTGAATTTTCCCTTCCTCGTCCCTAGCCTGAGGCTCTTCATTTTTCAGAGAGAATGGGGGGGAGTGGGTGGGGTTGTAATCCAACTTTTGTCCTTTGCAGAGTTGTACTCTATGTAGGACACTACTTTCTAACATAAGGGACCCCTGGTGTACCTTTTACATCCCTGAGTGCATGAATGCCCTGATGTGGGGTGTACCTCCATTAGTCTGCTGTTCCTATTTTAGACACACTATTCTGGTGGGAGGGGATGATTTTGAGTGCTGTACATGTTGATATACAATATTGGCTTAAACTAAACATGTACTCTTTGGTATATAGTGAGCTAGTACAGGAGTCAGAGAAGCATTGAATTGGTACATGTTGAATCTATAGAGGTGTGCTGTATCAGTCTGTCAGTTTGTGGGGTAGTGGGATCACACCTAGATTGTTCTTGAACCTTCCAGTAGTATTGACATAGCACACTAAGTGTGGCATTGCAGCTGAGTCCAAGAGAAGGAATGACATGAAGGAGGCATCATGGCCTAGGGCCCAAGTTATTACATGGCATTCACAGTAGTAATGAGGGCAGTCTAAGAGGAAGTGAGGTATGGTCTTGTTGATTCCTGAGCAATGGGGGTAGTGAGGTGAGTATTATTTTCCTATGTGATGCAGGTATTGATGGAGGGGGATGTATTACATGCATAGCACTATGTACTATCGATGGCCCAGTAATGCAAATCAGCCCGGTAATGCAACATTTTGATGTATGGCCTCAATTCACAAATAATTAAGTACCGAAAAAAATGGACTGTGTCAGTAGTCTGTAGAAGAGTTCATATGCGTAATTTGAAGAGCCTTGGCAGAGTTTTGCGTCCTGCAGAAAATCAACACTGGTCAAAATCAGACTCAATTTTGCACATCAGACAATGATTGACATGTTGCACATTTGCACAAGTATGAAATTTGGGAAAAAAAGACATGTGCATAAACTAGAACACTCCTGCTACCTATTCTGCCCCCTCAATCGGTGTTTGGAAGAGGTTTGTATGAAAGAGACAGTTGTGCAAATCATGGTGAGCTCAAATGTGACAGACATGTGACATCTCCAGGCTCACAACACATTGGTTCATTTGCACGCGACTCGCTATACAAACTATCATCAATCATATATCATATCCAGTGCCAGGTGCACACTCTAATTGTCTACAAGTACTACATTAATAAACATACACTTCCACTCATTCTATAATGCCGAAATCAGCATTATACCGCAAGGATGGTCTCAAGGCAGAGGCATATGAAGCACGCATCCAGGAAGCCATCACTGCACTTCGTGAAAAGAAATACACCAATGTTGCGATGGCCTGCCGTGAACTTGGTCTCACTGACTTTTACCACACTGTCAACTGGTGTTTTCTTGGCAAGACTAAACCCTGCGTGAAAGCTCACATGCAACAACAGCTCCTCAACCACACTCAGGAAAACATGCTTCGCAACTGGATCAAGTGGCTCGGAGCTACTGGAATACCACTGTCAAAACGTACCATTGCTCCTAAGATTGAATCACTGTGTGGATGCAAGCCATCATGATGCTGGATTGAACATTTCATTCGACGAAATCCTGACTGCACTCTTCTCCAACCTTCTGGACTTGATCCAAAGCATGCACGACAATTCAACTTTACAATTGTCAACAAGCACTTCGAGAACATCCAGCACATATTCAGCAACAGTGATATCCCTCTCTGCAACATCTTCAACTTCGATGAAATAGGCATTCAGCTTGGTGGTGGTTGCAAAACCAATGGCGAGCTCTTTTTCTTTGCACGGGGAGACAAAAGCAAGTACAAACTCAAAAGTGATGATCTTGAACTTGTCACGATTCTTGAAACCATCTGCACAGATGGGACAGCTACTGTGAAGCCCTGTTTTGTATTTTCGGGCACATATCACAGCTCGGAGTGGTATGATGCACCAGATGGAGTCCTATGATTAATCTTGGTCTTGTTTGTTGTCCTTTGCTCACAGCTACATGTGCTTCTAGGATTGCAACCACCGACAATGGCTGGACTACTGATGCTGTGTGTGTTGAATGGTTTACAAAATTTTTTGTTCGTGATGCCAAGGCACATGCAGACACATCGAAGCCAATAGTCCTTATCTACGATGGACACGGGTCCCACAACACCATTGAGTTGATCGACACTGCACTTGCAAACAACATCACACTGTACCTCCTCCCACCTCACACAACGCACCATCTGCATCCATGCGATGTCGGGGCCTTCGGACCCCTCAAGTGGGCCTGGTACAGTCATTGTGACATGATCTATGAAAAAACTGGTCAGCATATGCAAGCGAGCGACGTTGTGCGGGAATATCTAGGTGCATGGGACGAGTCCTTCAAGGAATCAACTATTCAAAAAGCATGGTCGAAGTCAGGGATCACTGTTGACGAGAACAGCCGACCGAAATGCACACCAGAGATCTTTACAGCTAATGACTTTGCCCTGAGTGTATCCTTGTCAACACAGCTGAACCTCCCAGAGGGATATCCCATTGACTGAACTAATTCCTCGTCATCTGAAGCTGGATCTGACAATGGAGGTTTGATTGACACTGATCATTCAAATTCATGTCCACTCACGACGCGCCATTCGAAACGTATCCTGGTGCATGAACCTGAAGCCGAAGCCAAAATCGAGCCTCTCCCCCCACTCAACAGTTATCCTCTCTCGGACTCTGAAAATGATGGTGACATCAGCGAGACTGATAAAGTCGTAATGTCCAGTGTTTTCAAGTGCAGGTTTGCCAAACTCACATCAAAGGCTGCAAGGTACAGACATCAGTGTGACGAGGCTACTGCTCATGCCATACTCGCTGCAAGTCACATTCACAGGCTACAGGGACAACTCAATGCAAAGACGAAGAAGAACAATGCTGGCGCACATAACATTCTTGAGCCATCATGGGTCATCACTACCAAGGAAGGTTGCATGGAAGTGCAGAAGCAAAAAGAGGCATGGGATGCCAGAGCACAGAAGGAGGATGAACGGAAGCAGAAAAAACTAAATGAGGCCATCGAGGTGCGCGAGCAGAGAACACAAGAAGGCAAGGACACCATGTTGTTCAGTGGCATGCTCAAAAGCCAGAAGCTCCCATTGCTTTGTGACATTGCATGGACGTTGGACATTTCAGAGGATGGGACATGAGATGAGTTGATCAAATGAGTCAGTGCGTTTTTCAATGCCAGTGAGAACACACACCTTCATCACGATCCACGTTACAAGGGACTATTCATGACTGGCAAGCGTGCACCAAAGCGGCCTCTCCCGGCACCTGCAGATGATGAACTACATGAGCCACCACATCAACGATGTCACTTGGGTGAAATCATGAACTCCTCTCCAGTCTTGCCTTTGGATCCTCGACTGCAACCTGAACATGAATCACCAATCTACTCATCACCAGATCTTGACACAATTAACTTGCTAAATGATACCTCAAATGGGTGGTTCATGCCATATGAGCCTCCCGCTGGACTGAGCACAAGCATCGTGTTTAATCCCCCACTGAACCATGATGGCCGTTGTAGAGACTCATGCCTCTCCTTGTGCAATATTGCAGTTTTCACCAAGGAGTATACAGCACGAACTTGTAGCATCACTCTGTATGCTTCCTACAGCTATTCCTACATGAGGCGCAGCTTTCCCGCGCATCATGCAATGTGCGCGCAACTTCCCGCGCTTCACGATGTATATGCATGCGCGCTTTCCCGCGCTTGAGCGCCCTATAGCACCAGCCATCCGGAAGCATCCATCCACTGTCCACCAAGTTCCCTAGTGCGTATATTTCCATTTCTCACATTTGCATATTGTTCCATCTTTATTTTTATCATGGACCCTTACTTACATATATCCTTACATACCTTACTCGGTAGCGCTTCGGCTCCGCATGACAGCGCTTAGGTGCCATACTTAAGCGCCAGCAGTACATACTATTACTCACTTACTCACCCACAAAAAACGACAGAGGACCGAACCACAACGAAACCCATTTACTACCTAGCGGAGTATAGTTGAAATCTATTCCTTGGCACCTCGCATATAACATCTCTCAGCTTGCATCTCGCACCTCTTGTCTAGTGTCTAATCATCACTTAAGCAAACTCACTCTTACTCTCTCTTGTTTCCGCATACACGCACGCGCATTCCCACGCCTCGCACGCACCTGCGCTTTCCCGTGCTTCACATTCGCCAACCAGTAGCGCCTTCAGCGCCTACTACTAGATCCTTGCTGCACTTGCTTCCCCTTTAGGGTTGAATGCACTTGTCGTCTCAAGTATAGCAGACTAGGCAACGCGCTGAAAGTACAACAATTCAGATGGTGAGTCTGAACAATGTTGGGTCTTGCAGAACCTAGCTGCTATGCGACCCTAAAGGGTTTCTGGACCAGACTCAAGGCTCAGATAAGAGGAAATATGATAGAAACTTGCTGAGTACTCTGACTCACTCATACTGGTAACTGGTGAAAAGATAACTTGATTATGTAAGCTACAAAGTGCCAACATAAGGTAAGGTAAAGACAGTCTCTCCAAGCCTAGCCAGAAATGAATCCCTACATCTCATGGGAACTTTGAATCATGACTGTCCCCAGTCATCTATCTATGCAAACCAAAGCTAAGCTAAACTAAGAAAACTAACCTGGGGGTCCTTAAACACCTTTTGTTTCCTTGACGCGTATGCCAGGTAAACTGCGCCAGTGAGTAAGGGTCAGGCAATGCAATAAAACGATAATCTCCAGACTTTGCTTTGAGTACTGGAGGAGCAGCGATGATAAAGTGATGTAAAACACGATGATGGTTGCATGGATGACGACGGGGAGTGGACGGATCGAAAGGGGCGAACGAGGGCTTCGAAATGAGTATAGGGTCGACTAGGATTGGTCAAGAACTGAGCAAGATATGAAAAGAATGATGAAAAAGGGAGGGAAATGCGAGAATGGCGGATTGCGGAGGAACGCGCGGACGTATCGGGAAGCGGATCGGACGGATGGAAAGCGGCGGCGAATGCGGTCAGAATGAGTATAGGGTCGATAGGTGCGCGATCAAAGGGTGAGGAGATATAGATAAAATGGTGGAAAAGGTGCAATAAAATGGGGGGCGACGGAAAACGCGAATGGTGGGCGAACGGCGTGTCGGATCGTGGCGCCGATGGGCGCAAATGAAAGCCATGAACGGGGGCTTCAAAACGGGTGTAGGGTCGAGGGGGTTCCAATGCAAAATGGGCTGGTGAAAGTGCGAAAAAGTGCGGAGGTGCAAGAGGGAGGAGGAGGAAGGGGTATGGTGCAGGGCAACAAGGGCTGGTCCTATCAAAAGCGGATTGGGGAAATGGACAGAGCCACTGAAGGATGGTAAATGGCCAAAAGAGCTAAAAGAGACAGGCCTTTGAGCACCCAGAAAACCCTTATCTCCCCTCAACTTCTCAAAACACCAAAAACTCGATAACTCCACAACTACTGCTCCAAATTCGGTGAGCCAGGGCTCAAAATGACCGGACGGACGTGGGGAATACGACCCTAAGTTTGCGAGAGATCCGCTCGGAAAACGCGTGAGAAAAACGCTTATCAATGCGCTGGGGAGGAGGACAAGATGCTGAAAACTTGGGAATATGGGAGAAGCTGATAAGGAATGACTGTGGTAGGATAATAGGCGAATTTGGGGGATGATTGGAGAGCTGGAAGAGCCTAGAAACACAAGAAACCCTCGCGGTGGGCTCCAGTTGAAGGTGAGGAATCTTGACTATAGGTGAAACGCTAAAGCTAACGGGGGTTCTACAGTAAGACCAGGATACGAGAATACGACTCGACCCAAAGGACAGCTACTGAGAGAGGTTCCTCTTTAATGTAATGGAGGGAGTCTTCGCCAACTAGACGGGTGGTAACAGGCGCGCGAAGGCGCGAGAAGATAAGGCGCGCGAAGGCGCGAGAAGATAACACGCGCGTAGGCGCGAGTAAGTAAATGCGAAGGCGCGCGAAGGGCGCGCGCGAGCGAAAGATGCGAGGGGCGCGCGCGTATATGGAAGCGTGCTTTTGAGCGATGGGGGAGAGTGTTCAAGTATAACAGATGCGCGAGCGATGGTAGAGTAGTGAAGTATAATCGGATTTCAAGTACTAAGGTGCACTTATACAATTTGCAGTATACTCAGATAAGGGAGAAGGGAAGCAAGCAAGTTAAAGGAACTTTCCCTCTATTTAAGAAGGGAGATTACGCTATGCGGCGCGCTTCCGAGCGTGGTACCGAACCGAGTAACCATATCAACTCTAAATATATTCTAAAGCCTATGATAGACTTTCTGTATGTAAGCACGGAGATCGGACCGAAGGTACGTCAATTCAGTGAAAGGGATAAGAATAACGCACCAGTAAATCAGCGAGGACATAGGACGGACGGACGGACAAGGGTACCAAGGCCTAAGGGGAGGCGCACGAGCGCGCGCGAAAGGCGCGAGTGCGTGTAAGGCGCGCGAACGAGGCGCGTACATAGGGCGCGCGCGTGAGAGCGTGTATGACTGATCCTTCGGATAAGAGCT